GCATCACACCATAAAAAGTTCACCCCCCACAAGTAAAACTCCTGATATTCCTGCATCCTTGCCTCCTGTATCACCCATTCTAGTTCTTCTTCATCTGTTTCTTCCTGTAGCCCATAAGCAAGTTCTCCACCAGCACAGGACAGGTCACTGCTCTCAGTTTCTTCTCTCTCATTCTCACTGTCCTCCTCTTCCTCAAGGAGAGAAGTGGCAAGTGGGTTGTAGAAACTCTCCTCACCCCCTTGCAGTTGTACCATCGTTCCACTGTCTTGGCTGGATACTTAGTCCAGCCATGGGGCCTGAGAAGTATGAGGCATTGAGATATGTGAAAGCAGGCTGACTTCTGATATCAGAGTCATATCAGTTCCCACCTGTCACTCACACTGCCTCCACTTGCTCATGATAGAACTGGACATTTCTTTGGTATCCATCATTGAGGAGTTGCCCAACCACTCAACTCCTGAGGAAACCTTGGAGGGCATGAGCAGAGATGTGAGCCATGTTAGGGACTCATAGTTTATAGTGCCTAAGGATGGACTTATCATCCTCAAACATGGTATTGGCACTGGGGGTTCATTGGGGAGGGAGATATTGGGGGGTTGGAGGTTGTGGGGCAGTTCCTGGGACATTGTCCCAAGCTGAAGAAGGGATTCTATTGTCCTCTCTTATTTCATTGGTGGTAAGGATTTCTGCATTTGCCCACCACTCAGGGGCCTAGGGGTTGGAGCTGGCAGTGCTTGGCCCTCTAAATACTGGGATCAAGAGTGAGTGGTCAGTGCAGACAGGGGTGAGTACTGATGTGACCTTGGGCTGGAGTTCATACCAATTGAAGATGTTGACCCTTGCCAACTGCTCTCTTTCAGTACTTCTCTGCTGCTCCCTATGCTGCCTGTTGTGCTTGGTGGCCCTTCTAGTCTGCCCCTGTAGGATGAGATGCTCCTCAAGCTCACTGCAGGGTGGCTGGAGAATGTTTCACTGTCATTTTTCTTCTTGTCAGAGAGCCTCATTGTAATTGAAGGGGATGTTGAGATCCCATGCTGAGAATAGCCAGTGGATGATTTTGTTTCAGTTTTCTTGGATTTGTCACTTGTCATCGAGCCAGTCTGAGGATGACCTTCCCAGCCCACTGCTGGTTTCGATCAAGTGGTGGCCCAAGGTGGCAGGGCTGTGAGGCTGGCTTCAAGATGATGTGCTGCGGAGTCCTGCAGCCATCTGAGTGGGACTGAGGGAGTCTCTGGCATAGTTATCAATCCCAGAGGTTCGAGAGATTCTGGAATGATTGGGGGAGAGAGACTGCTGAAAGAAGTCTCCTGAGAGGTCCTTGTTCTTGTGGTCAGAGATGAGGGTTCATTGCCAAGGGTTTCTGAACCCTGCAAGGTGATTGTTGCTGTTTCTGCTTGTTGGTCAGGGAGGGTATCAGTGTTCTTCTCCTTGAACATCCTCTTGATGTGTGCTGCTAGGCCTGGCTTCAGGTAAGGGGCTTGTCAGAGGCTGGTGAGATGTTTGTCAGGATTCTGGGATGTCATGGAGAGGTAGATCAGAGGTTACATTGTGAAGGATTTGTTGGATATGTTGAAACTCATTATAGTGTCAGATTGCCTAGGTGGTAATTGAGTGACATCCTCTACACAGCTGAATAATCACAAGTAGGTCTAGGAGTGTTCCAATGATAGAAAAAAGGAGTTCAAAGAACTCTCAATCAAAGTTTGGATCTAATGGGATTACTGAGGGCATTCAGTTTCCTCCACACTATAGTGCATGAGGAAAGGGAAGAGGAAGCTTTGAGCTAATTGTTAGACTCAAGCATCATGTGAACAGATACATGTGATAGACAGTCATCACCTTGCACTTCAGATGATTGAATGAATTCACTGATGCATATTCTGATTGATGTGTCACAAGACTTGAAGAATCAGCTCAAGGGTAGAATGAGATAAATAAACTTTAGCTTGAAGCTGGGGATTACCAGAAAGAGCTAACAGTCTTAAATACTATACAGAATATGCTAATAATACTACTACTTATTGTGTGTTTCCTGGTCCATTGTGCTCATTGTCCTAGAGCATCATTACCATACATAAAAGGATCATTGTGCATCATCAAGCAGCATTGTCATGTCAAAAGACAATGACAGACTCAGCCAGTTATGATGACTAAGCCTTGTCCCATGGTTCTAAGCACTTGCCTTGATGCTCTGACTAAGCATGAATAGGGGCTAAAATGAGGAAAAAGTGGAAAAATCATAACATGTAGCTTCTGCTAGACAATCAAAGTGTTCCAGTATAACAGAATCATGAGAGAAAAAAGCTATATATGGAATCAAGCATATGGAATAAAGAGCTGATGATTCTACAAAGACTTTAATGATGTGATAGTAAGCTCTGATTCCAAATGCCTGACTTCCTCCTTGTACAACAGTGATGATATGATAGATGATGAACATTGTGCACCATAAGGTTGTTGCAAGAATAAAGGATAAATAAAGTACATCACTACATTGATGAATTTCTTATAGTTGGTCTCTATATAGTCCTGGTATATTAAAATAATTTTGAATGCTGCACAAATTGTTGCATAAATTCACCAATCCTAAGAGATCTGAGAGATATTACCAGTTGCAGAAAGAAGAAAAAGAACAGGAGGCAGAATGATCAGCCAGTGCTGATCTCAGACTATCCTATAGTGCCAAATATATGTTAGAATAATGGTAAGCTGCATTAAAAATTCTTGTTGTCATACACACCATAGTGGAATCTGCTAGAATAGTACAGATAATACCTGTTGTGCCCATACTAATCTTTCCTATTGCTCTAGGACTCTGATAAAACATATATGCTGTTAAAAAGCTTTATCCATTGTCTATGAATATAGAATGGATGGATGACCAATTGAAGGCAAAGCCAATGATAGTAAAAATGTAGAGGAGGGTTATAACAATAGTGATGCCAACTTGTCTGATGTGCAGAGACTTGTTCATAACTGTGCCATTCACTTCAGCATTTAAAGCATAGTAGAGTTAGAATGTTCCTCTCACAGATATTCCACAGTGTGATAGCAACCATTCCAGTATATAGGCCTGTGGAAAGCTCTGATTAAACACATGTATCTGAAGAAATAAATATACATACCACTCAGTAGAGAGAAGAGTATTATTGAATTCATTTGAACATCAAGAAATTGGTATATCAAAGCTCTACTGATATTGGTCTGATTGGACATCAAAGAAGTCTGGATGAAATGTGAAAGATAAGCAAGAGAGTAATCTGTGGATGTAACACATTTTATATCTCTCACTATATAGCATGCAGTAGCACAGCAAAAAATCTGTTGCATTGCAACAATGAGAATGATTATCATCAGGATCACTTTAAATGCTATGATGAAAGGTAAGATGGGCATTATTCCTGATATCAAACAGCATTCAGCAATCTAATCATAAGATAACAGCATCTCAAAGTGTTTTAAAACCAACAGATGGTAGGAGCAAGTAATTGCTGCAATAGGATGCTTAGTATATTCATAGATACAAATACATAGACTATTGCACTACCTGATAAACTCAGTAATGATGTAGTCATAGTAGTTCAAGAACAGTAAGGTCTCAACTCCTGATATCTTCCTCAGGTCCATCTTTCTGTTTCCTCCATCCAGCATATACAGCCTGTACATCAAAGTTGAGGATGCTGGTTGCTGCTATCAAACCAAAGACCACTAATTTGTGACAAAAATTTGGAATGAGACATATGGAGGATAACAAACTGAGCTTGATTTCCATATTCACCTTTACAACTGCTTTGATATTAGTCTATGTGCCAGCTGTAATGATATAAGAAGGCTTACATATGGATATTTGTCTCAGCAGAATCATACACACTGATCTGCCACAAGAAGTACCTGTGGCTGCCCCAAATACACCTGCATCAACTATACACAGCATGTAACCATTGATCTCTACTCTGTTGATCATGGATTGTTCAGCTTCTGCAATAATCCAGATGTCAATTAATGGCAAAAATAGAAAGCTGCTTCAAATTATGCTGTTCATTATTGAAGCAGTTGCAAAAACTGGCTGATCAGAACAAGACAATATACTGATGAAGAAGAGAGAATCACTGAGGAGATAACATTCTTGATCCTGTTTGTTACAGGTATGAGCAGGTTCAATTCCCACTCAGAACATGATTGATTTGTTGTATGTATCATTTTATACCCTAACATGAGGGGAGACTGGGGAGTGTGGGTTTGGCTAGCTAGAGAGAACATGACAACACACAGTGTATAATATACAGCACTATCAATTCCTAAGTCCCTGTGATGACAAATGCCAAGGAGAATGTCTAATGATAATCTTGTCAGTCAAACTTACTAAGTAGAGAACAACACAGTCACATAGGGACATTATTTCCCTCACCCATGTTTCTTTCACATCAATATTTCACTACCCAGAGAGTGGGTTTTAGAACCAAAAGGGCAGCCCCAGAGAGAAGGGGCAAGGACATGAAAAACTAGAGGGTGTTGGCTTCATCCCACACTGCTAATGTCAACACGACTGAAATGTAGTTACAACCATGGTGATGTGAACAAAACTTGTGAGATAGCATGGAACCTCCACCACTGGCTACCTCTTGATAGACCATCCTCCTTCTATGCTCAAATATGTATCAGCCTACATTGGGCACTCTTGGGTTGATCTCTCTTCGAATTGATGCACCCTTTGGTCCCCGAGAATGCCTAGCACCGAGTCTGGCATCTCTGGGCTGCTATCTCAACCGTATGACAGGCCTCCTTTTCCACTGTTGTGAGCATAGTCTCCCTCTTGAATGCATAGGGCCCTTCCATATATTGTCCATTGCAGCTCCAGTGCTGAAATTTGTATCGTAGCATTGGTCGCCAGTGAAATCAGAGTCTCCAGACATGCAGATGGCTTATACTGAACTGTGCCATTGATGGGACAAGGTGTAGGCATGCATAATGTGTTGGAAAGTGGCACAGTCGGCGAAGGTTTACTTTTTCTGGTGAGCCAGCATGGCATCCAATATTGAATAGAGCCCATAGTACCGTGATTTATCCTCTAATCGCCGTTCTGTTTTATGATCCAGGGCTATACGAAAGATGCTTAGTGAAAAGATGATAAAATCTGCAAATGCCGTACATATCTGGCAGAACGGCTTGCTGAACGAGTTGCCAGAAGTGTCGTATATTGTGAAGAAGACGGTCGCTCTGAATTCTTCATCCTGACAACAACAAGACATGTTTTGTTCATTAAATCTTTTATATACATACAAGACTATGACGCCAAGTGATGGTGGTCGAAATCCAGGGTGAGAGCTACCTAACACGCTTGATTTCGGCCCTCATTATTTGGGCATCATAGGTTGGGGATGAAGCAATGAGTCCGGAGATAGCAGTCTCGGCGCTGATCCCCCGAACGAAATAAAATGCGATGCCCACTGTGGGGGAGAAGTCAGACACATGTAGATTGGGATGAATCTACCACGTAACATCACCCAAAGGTCGGTCTATGGGTACCTATTAGACAGTCTGGTCTCTTCTTGCAAAGCACCGAACGAATCTTCCAACCTAGAAAGTTAAAAGAAAAAGAAAACTCAGATGTCACGCCCAAAAATATCACGGCAATGCTCACCCATAAAATATATTCCGCAAAGTTTTTGAGGGGTTCCTCCCCAGCCGCCTCGCCTCTACAGCCTCGAGAAGGTCTCCATGGTATGACAACCGGTTCGGGTATCGGATCAAAAAGAAAAGTACTCTGTCCTCGAGAAGATGCTGGTCGGGAATCAGAGCCAGCTTATGCAACCCAAACAGCTGTGCGACCTTGGACCAGCTCATATCGCTTATTTCGACCAAACTCGGCAATCCCATTCATAGGCTCTGAATTCCAAAACAAATGCCTACCACGGTACTTGTGTATAATTTGCCTGCCCAAGGACTATCTACATTCTGGGCGTCTTATAATTTTGGAAAAACATTGAGCCAATGTCTGGCTCTTGAGCTTTCATACTTAGGAATACCAATGTACCAGTGCCAGTAACAAACGTTCCAAACTGGATTCAAATTTAAAGTTCTTTGACTGGCAGGACCGACCGCTTATCCTTAACAATGCAAACGAACATGATCAGTGAAGTCCGCGTCTAGGGCCCACTATGTTTCATTAATGCTATGCGCCGTACTTAGTGCTGGGAATCTCTATTTCACTCCGGTAAAACAGGCGATCACCGATCTTTTGTCGTTTGGCAGAAATCAAGTAGAAATTGCAGGATATTGCTTTCCTTCAAACATTCAGAGTTTTAAATGTTAATACCTATAACAATACTATCTCTTTCTCTATAAGTTCTACTGTCAGTCTATATCTAAATCATTCAGCAAATGGATAGTCTGTAAAGCCCACACCACTGGTATCTCCAGAAACATAAAATGTGGGGCGATCGTACTTCGTAAAAGGTATATTCTTCTCCAGCCTCGTGGGAAGATCAGGCTAAACAAACAAAGTTAGCCAATGTTCTCGATGAAAGCAAGAAAAGACTTGCGTTCGAGATATACCACCGGCCATAAGCAATAAGATCACCCTTCTCGTCGGCGGTCTCTATCCCTGACTCCCTAGTATATCCACCAGCAGAAATAAGGGGTTTTGGTGCCCAAATTTTCCGAATGAAATCATTAGTTTCGACATCCTTGATATCTTCTGGGGACCGATCGGTAAACCCGTCGACACGAGCCTCGACGACGTGAATCCAAGCAAAATCGGGATACAGCTCCTTCACACTCGTTACCAGATGTGAAAAAGTGGGTACAGGATCTTCCATCCGCATTCCTACGAAAGGAAGTATCATCAGCATCCTATCGTCTAGCACGACCAACAGAAAACATACCGGCACCACGGTTCCACGGACTCAGCCGCAAGCCTACCCTATCCGCTCCCACCTCCTTGACTACCCGTTCAATAACTTCCAAGGGGAACCTCACACGGTTCTCCACGGTTCCACCATACTCATCATCCCGAACATTGCTCACGCTCTGTATGAACTCATCCACAAGGAACCCATGCGCCCCATGGATCTCTACTCCGTCAAACCCAGCCTTGTTCACCGCATTTGCTGCAGCAATGCCAAAGAATTCTATGTGTTCCTTGATCTCCTCTTTCGTTATCTCGTGAGGAACAGGTGCGCCAGGTGTAGGAGGGAGCGCCGACGCTCCTACATGCGGGAACGTAGGGTCGCGAGACTTAAGAAAATCTGGGGATGCTTGACGTCCCATAGCAGCGATTTGTAGATAGATGTAGCTTCCCTGGGCGTGGACACCGTTGACGACCTATGCAATACAAAGAATCTGGTCAACGGAAACTCTCGAGTGTGGAGAGGCAACGCACCTCTTTCCAGGCAGCGATCTGCTCCTCAGTCCATATTTCTGGTGCACCAGGGAACCCAGAGGCTTGGGGTGCAATGATGGTGCCTTCGGCGATGAGAAGCGTGCCAGGGATCTTGGCGCGTTGGACATAATAATCCTTCACCAAAGGTAATAAAGGGGCAAGGGTGACTGGATTCACGCGAAGTCGCGTCAGAGGAGCCATGACGACTCGGTGAGATAGAGAGAGACGTCCAAGGGTAATAGGCTGGAATAATTTACTGGAAGACATCGTGATACTCGTGTGGACGATGAAGAAAACTTGACAGCGGTATAGAGCGCTTTTATATCTGAAATGTTAACCTTTCCCGGTAGTGATACTCAATCGCTGAGCCAACGACGTGCGTCAGGGCGCTAATGATTCATCCAGGGCGACGGCCATAGTTTCCGGCACGGTCGGTAAATGCGGAGTGTAGCAAATCAGTCAGCAAACCTAGATGACTAACTGTTACAAACGCTGAATCAGCGACCTATGCTCCAAAGATAATATTCGTTACGCCATACATAAAGAGAGGGAGTCTAGGGAGTCTAGGCATGGAAACAGTCGGCAGGTGTCCTCATACCCGAGTCAATTAGTAACGTGCGCCCATGTTTTGTTGATGATTATACCATTGCTGTGACGATGAACATTGCGCCAGATTGCGAGCGTTTAAAGAGAAATGATGAATGGTTTTTGGTTCGCTTCATCTTGAAATACTTCTTCAATCCCCTTTCCACAAACTACTTAGCATTAAACAGGACATAAAGGAGTAACTTCAAAGTTACTATGGTACGCGCCGATTTCGAACTTGGGGGAGATCCGGCTACTCAAATGACCAGTGAACTGTTCGTGTGAGTTGGCCTTTTGGTCCTCCTGCAAGGAAAAGTATTTGCCTCATGTAAATTTGCAGTACGTGAAAAAAGCAAAAAAAAAAAAAAAACAGTGACGGTTTCGGACTCGGACCATATTGCTGGTGCTGACTCTGCACGCCCACGTGATATCCACGTGTACCTATTCGCGACTTGGACTTTCTGCACCCAACACATTATGAAGTGCAACATAAGAAATACGAATAGTTGAAAGAAAGAATGGATAGACATACCTCAGAGTCACAGATCGCTACCTAAACTTCGCAAGATCGCAAGAACATGCCCCATCAATTTGATGCACTCTGCAGATTGCTGCACCGATGCATGCAAATGATCCGATGACATTCCGCTGCGAGACAACAGAAACGGAGAATGAGCGAGTAAGGAGGCAATGGCTGATCAAAGACCATTAAAGAGCATTCCAAAGTCCCATGATGCCCTTCATAACAAGTAGGAATCTTGGACAATTACAATTACAATGCGATAGTGGATCGCCCTTCTTGATCCCAGTGCACCTGTCAGTTAATTCGCTTGCCTCAGGTTCACCGACTTGATGTATAGTGGATGTGGTCTAGTTTTGGGCCTTTCGGTGAGTGAATTGGAGAGTTTCTTCGCTTGGCTCTCGATGCCATGGTGCAGACATTGATGGGAAAGTTATGCACTCCTGGCTTATTTAAAATCTACCATTTTTGGCATGGTATTTCCTTACTTGGATTTAGGTTCAAAAGTTCTATTAAAATATGTCACAGGATTTGACCCCTTCTAAATACCGATTCATCACAGCAGTGATGAGAGTATCTGGCCAGGTGAGAAACTATGGCATGAATTATTAGTGCTGGTTTCAATGGGATCGAGCAGTGAGATTGCTCAGATATTGTCCTGCATACTGTAAACAAGAATGAGCATTGAGTACAAGCTAAGTATCATTGTGTAAGGCTGTGCCGAAGAAACTTGGAAGCGGCTTTACTGACCTTGTAACTAACCCTGATATCAGAACCATCCGCATCAATGTCAGAAGTATTGCAATGCTGCTGTATGGGCGTCGGACAGGCATAAACAAGAAAACGAATAAACTGACTTGGGAAACACCGAAGCGGTCCTGCCCTTATTCAGAGTGTAGATCATCGCAACAGACAAGATAAACTCAGCTGCTACACTCGTGGCAAACAACGAGATGAGAGCATTCTACATTGAAATAAGATTGTGCGTCCGAGATGATATTGAATGCGCACCCTGATGGTGGGTGTTTGGGAGAAGGTGGGGACCAAAATGATATTGAGGATATCATTGGCATTGAATGAATAGTAGGAAAATGCTGAGCGCGTACAGATCTTTAGCAAGGTCTATAGGATGTCCGGTCATTGACGTATCACGAGAAAATGGTATACAAGACTTACATATTCCGCAATCTCTCAGGGTGTTATAGTCGAGAATTTAGACCGGAGAGCAGCAGGATTCGACGCACCGGCGTTAGACATTGAATAGGTTGTATTCAGGTTTGCGTGTTATCAGGATGTAAAGATCAGTTGTGATGCGAATTTCCGGCATAACATCCTATTTCTACACGTGTTGGGCTCCTCCTTGTGAGTCCTGCCTCAAATCATACCGTTTCCTAGAATGGTGAACTGCTATGTCAAGAAATGTCATCAGAAGTTATTTGTGTCCCGACGTCAAGCCTTTTATGTATTGCGACGCAAGTCACAAACGAAATGGTATACGGATTGTAAGAGTAAATAGTATGGATCAATGCCAGGGCATGAAACGAAATAAATCATATGTTAAGCTGAAGTCTTAAAGTTCAAATTTTGGTGTCATGGCGATACAGTTACGTGCAGGTGCCAGCATAGCTAGTCTGGGTATTTGCCACCATAGAGCCTTTGAACTCGGCAAAGCTCGAGCGGTCATCCTGGTTCGTGAGGACCGCTTCGATGCTAGCAGCCCCTGTGATGATGTCATGTTAGGGTCTTTAAACAGGCGCGGAAGAATACGAACATTTGTAGTGACCGTCAGTCTCATCGTCGTAGTTGAACCAAACCCACCCGCTCGCGAGGTAACGGATATTTCCTGTTGCCTGGATGTTACAAGTCTTGGTGCTGGTCTAAGATTCGACAGTCAGCCAACTGCAAATACCTCCTCGAAGAAAAGCTAACCGTAGCCGTACAAGTCTTGCCTTCTGGAGCAGTCATCTTTATGGTGACTTTGCTCACGTCGTTGTAGGATACGTCGAAGCTAATGGACCATATAAACGGGAGAAGTAGAGCCTTAAACACGGTCTAACGTACGTGCTCGAGGTCGTGTCCGTGACCTCGGTAGAGATGGTCAAAGCGTCAGTCACTTCGGCTACCTCTGGAACGCCCACTTTGACGGTCAATGTGTCTGAAACTCCAATCGTTGATGCAGCTAGATATCATATCAATAACTGAATACTCATAGAGAGAGATGAGAAGACATACTGGTGAGGGTGTAAGAAGTGTCAGTGTTGAAGCCTTGGTCGACTTCGATATCGACTTCACCAGAAGTACCAACGAGGCTACCCTCAGAAGAGGTGGTGTGCGTCTGGCAAACCGGGTCGCCTGTCCGCGAATTGGAATGAACACCAAAAGGGTGATAAGTTGAACGTACCGGAGAAACTGAGCTCGACGACATCGTCTGTGATACAAACCTGGGCAGGACTGTCGACGTACTGGAAGAATGATCAGAGAACGACTCGATGAGGCGATAAAGGATCGCACGTCAGAAGGGTTAGTAACAATGGTGCGGGAACCATCGCCCCAATTATTGTTGGCATATTGCACGATGGCATCCCATCCGGGAACTGCACGGATACAGATCAGCCTGACAGAAAATGAAAGAGACATGGCCACTGACGAGTTTTGGCTTCATCTACCGAGAGCTGGGCGCACTGGCTGGCGGCACGACGCTCGAGGCCGTTGGACTGTGCATCGACAGGGTATCTGCCGTATAGAGAACCGTCGCGCTTGAAAGCGAGGTAGTGTCCGTGGGCCTCGTCGACGGCGACGTGGGAAATGTCCTTAGGAAGGGTCCTGAAGAGCTGGCTGAAGGGTACAGCGGCGACGCCAGAAAGGGCGGTCAGAAGCGTAATAAACTGGCGTCGGTGTGTATTAAAATGAGCAATAAGGTTCTAGGATAACAGACCACTCACGGCTGCTGGTGCGAACATAGTGAATTGAAGTACAAAGGACGTAAGAGAGGAGCGAAGAGAAAAGGAGGAATGGTCTGCTATAGCTCGTCTCGAACGGCTTTTATACATGGCTTTCTATGTTTCATGACATTGTCACTGGTTTCATGACCAGAGCGAGGTAAGTAGGCCACCTACGAATTGCACACCGAGCATGTGGTACGCGAGCGCTGAGCGGTGATGATATTGATATGTTTGTGTGATCAGCAGGAATGATTGACGAGGACCATGATCCATAGCACTGCGTGTGAGATACCGCCGTGTTGAATAGAGGTCAAGGATTGCATGAACGATCTAAGTCAACAGTATCCTCGCAGTTAACGACGAATCCTTACCTTTCGGCAAGGTGTTCACCATTCGCTTTCTGTAAATGGAAATGCAATCCGTAACGTCCGTTGCATATGGTCCATAGTTACAATCACCACACCGCATGACGACTGCACTCCACAGCAGGAGAAAATAGCCCGAGGAACGAGCGCGATATTTCAAAAGAGACCAACGTTCCTCCCACTGTATATGGGGGTACGAAGGGAATAACCACAGACATGACGAACCGTAGGCTGTAGGCAGCACTCAATGATAGGCTCGGCCAGCTACCACCGATAGATATTGCAGATAGAGATAGACTGAAGGAAAGGATGTCAGTCGATACCAAGATGGTTTCAACGAGCTATCTAGAACGCACGATGTCTCTATTTCGAACCCGAATTTGAATACGTCAGAAAGAGCGGTGGTCAAATCTCATCAAAGTCCTTTTTGGGGATACGTGTAAAGGCTTGGCGTCAATCTCGAAATTGAAAGTCAAATTGACAATGCAGTGCTGTTGGGGATCATCAGTGAATTGTTGTCCAACCGAAACGATATTAGAGTATGGAATAAGTGTTTCACGAACATTTACGCACCATTAAACCTTTTACATTGATCTCGTCCCTGAGGCGAAGAGGAACAAGCGCACGAAGGGCCACCTCGCCAGAGGAGATATCCAAAGTCAGGCCTTTGAGACCCTGCTAGAATTTTCTGTTTGGGAAGGAAATCACGTAGTCGCTCTGTCATTTTATCCTCGTTGTCTTATCCTGTAAAAACACACTGGAAAACAATTCGACAGGTGATGAACAAGGACTCACGAATCGCGCAAACACGTCGCATCTTGTATATGCTCCCCGAAGACTGTCTTCACCCATATACATTGATAGGTATATGATTTGATACCATCGAGAGCAACGGAACAAAACGAAAGGGGTTACGTGTTAGTGAGTAGAGAGACGGTGGCTGATGGTGGTTCTAGTAAAGACCGCTCAAGGGCATTCCACAGTCACATGATGCCCCTCCATGACAATTCGGTTTTTTTTCCGGACTCCAGAAAACCCACTACGAACGCGCTTCCTAGGATGCGGTGGTGCGCAACATTTATTGATCTCGTTCATAACTGTTCTTCCGTTCATTACTAGTCCTGTTATCCCTTCGGCTCGACGTGCAGTAGATGCGTAGTCTAGTTGGCGCACTTCGCAGGAAAAATTAGCGACTTCCTTTGCTTGTTTCACGAGGACATGGTTATGTAAAGACATTGACGAGTATGATCACTCAGTATTCTTGGTACACATCAAGTACTTCGAACTTGACTCACTAACCGAGAGTAGGCGGTCGACTAGCTGAAGGATCAGCATACACCAGCAGACATCAAATGGACAACGCGTTTGCGGTATCTAAACTCTGTTCATTTTATGCTGACTAGTGCTCTGAATATGGCAAGCGCAATCATATATACAACGAGCATATGAGTGGAAGTCAAACAGTTTCTGACTCAGTATTCATTGATACAACAATAGCTTGCTGCCAGCCCGTTAATATACGTCAAGTGGATATCGGGGAACGTACTTTATCCTTCCTACAGTGGTCCCGTACACATTCGGAAGCCAATCCAGAGGAGTCAATCGTTTGTAGGCGGATGGATTGATCTACATTTCGAATCATTTTCCTTGCATTCAGCCTATCATATTTGAAGTTCAGTGAATGTCCATGAAAATCGTTACCTGAGAACGTACATAGCCAACAGAGAGTTGATGAAGACTAAGTAAAGCTTAACATCACAGTATTCAGTATGGATTTAATGTCAGAAAGACTGACTTTTGGGCTGTAAACAGTCGACGCCGAGGAATATGAGAGTATCTGGCCAAACGACAAACTATGACATGGATTGTGAGCACCGGTATCATTCGGATGAACCATGGATAATACCGCGACTAGAATGAACATCGAATACAAGCTAAGTTTGCTGTCGTCAGGCCACACCGAAAGCTTGGAAGGGAATTTACTGACCTCGTAGCTAACCCTGATATTAGAACCATCTGCATTAATGTTACAAGTGTCGCAATGGTGCTGTATAGGTGTCGGACAGGCATTAACAAACAAATGAATAAACTGACTTGGGAAACACGGAAGCGGTCCTGCCCTTATTCAGAGTGTAGATCACCGCAACCGACAAGATGAACTCGGCTGATATGCTGGTGGCAAACAAGGAGAGAGCGTTCTGCATTGAAGTAAGATAGTGGGTCCGAGACATCGATATTGAATGCGGACCCTGATGGACGGTGTTTGGGAGAAGCTGGGAACCGAAAAGCTATTGAGGATATCATTGACATTGAATGACTAGTGCGAATCGGCTGAGCGCATACACATCTTTAACAAGGTCTGCAGGATGTCCCGTCATTGATGGATCACAGGAAAATGGTATATAAGGCTTACATATCCCGCAACCTATCAGGGTTTTATACTGATTAGTAAAGAATTTTGACCAGAGAGTGGAAGGACTATCTGCACCGGTATTGCCCGCAGTGAGAAGAATATGAATGGCGAGAAGGTGATCATTGAAAGAGATACAAAAATGCGTATTCCACATACGATGAACCACAGTATGCCAGTCGCGTTGTAAAAGTGTTTTCCCACTAATTGTATGTGTCAGGGTGGAACTAGCCGTCGAGAGAAGAGAATGTACATTTACATAAGCGTAGCGCATACACCCTACACAGGAGACATTTCAATTCGGCCGTGAATGAGTCAAGTGTGAATCCTCACCTTTGGACACAGACTCGGATAGCGACCTGGGTGAAAATTTAGAATGAAGCTCACAATAAAGAGATATGAATGATCAGGTACATACACAAATCAAGATATGCAGCTGAGCGATTCAAGTAACATGATCGGATCGAGAAGACACAACACAAACCTTAAAACTCCTATGCAGAAAGCAAGTCAATGAATAACAGGAAACATCCTATGAACTAGAACATACCACATAATGGTACCTTGAGTAAAAGCTTGAACATCCTCAAAGTTCTTGACAGAATAGAAATACCCAACATCGGTGGTTGCTGCAATGTCGATAGTATTCCATGGAGAAATCAAAGGAATTGAGAAAAGGGCAAGAGTGATGGTGCATCATTCTTGGAGGCTTTGAATGCCATGCATATGATCTGCTTGTCTCACACAAAGTTCTCTTCTTTGAATCTGCAGCGACTTTTTCAGCTGTTCATTCCTCACATCAAAACTTGTGATCGGCCAAGGCATGTAGAATAGAGAGACCATCCTTTCCCCATATTTATTTTTGGGGGTGTTGACAAACAACATGGCCATCTGGCACCATTCGCTTCATTACTATTTTCACTTCGTTCAGCTCTTGTAAATAACGCTGTCATCTCTTTGCTCCCTTCTGATCCACCCACCTCCTCCCTTCTTTGTTTGGGTAGCACCTGATCTGATGCTGCAGCTTCATCTTTTCAGCTGCTCAGATTTCAGGAATCCTGAACAACTGAGTTCTCGGCTTCTTCTGCTACAAGTCGGAATTTCCTCATCCCTTCACCCAGGTATTCATTCCTGGATCCATTTCTTTCCGTCTCAGCTCCCTCAAAGCCAAGTTCTCTCCCTCCCAAACCAGAGAAATCCAATATTTCTTGCTCCTACTCAGTCTATTCTACATAGACCTATCTTTAGCCCTCCCAGATCTCTTGTCTCCTTTCCGCAGTTTCACTTCTGCGTATGAATACTTCGTATTCCAACGATGAAACGAGAAAATGAAATATAAACAACCGCCATAGATAACTTGTACAGGTGGTACAGTCTCAGTTGTAACTACTAAAGACGGAAGGGATTAATGAAAACGCAATATAATGGGAAGTGAAATTCTTCTGGTCCAATAAACCATTATGTTCGCCTGATCAGAGTATGAACTTCCCTAGCCCCCTCTGCCGCCGATTCTAACTATCTGTATTCTCGCCGTTTTCGCACTTTCCAGCGTAAACGCAATCCCTCCAAGCAGCATACATAAGAACCACAAAACACTGTCCTTCCGGGCTTCCAGCAGTCCACGGCTCGGTATCAAGCCACGCCAGTGGATTAACGGCAGGCGTAACCGTCCCATTCGTAGTAACGTGTGGGTTTCCCTGGGAGTCAGTCCCCGAAAGTGTTCCACGGACACCGTCAGCCCACGATATATACGTCGTATTAAAGATATCAGGCTGCAAGACCGCCATGCGATAGATAACAGAGGCGATCATCGATGTCCCACTGATCTCTCCAAACCCATGGCCGTCTTCCCATACGTCGTCAAGGTAGTTCCGGGCAAGACCTTCGGTCGTCGGAGATCCCATAACGCCATGAACGATTTCCTGGATCCACTTCGTCAAATCATCGATGGCTTCTTGGCGCCACGAAGCGAGCGAGGCGGCTGGTGCTTTCATGATAGTCGCCAATACACGAGCCATTCCTCCAGCCGCCCAGCCATTCCCAGTGCTCCACAAACCAGCGTCCTGACTCTGCGGTCCGATGATATGCATCCATACACCATCATATGACTCACTAGAAATGTTAGTAGCTTGAAGCACCTCGCGATAATATCCACATTGTTTGTATGACTCGTGGAGAAGCGATATGTTAAACGTGTCAGCAGCATAGTATGCGATAAAGGGAGGCGCCATGTATATGAAGTCGTTCCTGTGAGCATCACCATCAGCCTGGCTGCGAAGATAAGAATGTCAAAACACTAACCAAAGCTCAGCGACATCTGTCCTTTGGCTAATCGCACCATTTTCCCATCTAGGTGCCTGTCCCAGCATGTATTCGATTTCGTCCCGGGCTCCGTTCGCATAGGACTCGTTCGTCTTGCCAATCAACCAAGCGAACACGCCCAGACTCGCAGGATCGCCAACCGCACCATCACCGTCGCTCAAACCGTTAGCTCCAACGCCCAATACAATCTTCTCTTGGGCGTACGAGAGCGCTTTAACAGATGAAGGAGAGTATGATTCGGCTGGTAAAGGATCTTCGCCATAGATGGATATATTTGGGTTGTAGAGCTCAAGAAGTGCCTCAGAGGCGGTGCCGAATTCCCAGGAGTGTGAAGGAAGAGACTCTGCAAGAGCTGCAACTGAAACGATGTCAAAACCTGGCCAGAGCGCGAAGGGGTCCGTAGCGGATACCATTGGCGAGACCTGTAACTGGACATAATGAGTGACGACGACCAGCGGCCGGTGGAAGAAGACTGACCGCCAACGCAATTAACAGGCCTTCGAGCATGTATTTCAAAGATTGAAAAATACAGGTATGTGGATTCGGGTTGAACTGGAAGAGATTCGTCGGGACGAGGAGGCATCGAAAGCGCACTTTTAACCTGTAAGAATGGACCAGGCCCAGGTACAGAAACATGAAACGGTGCAGGGCAATATCATGAATATAATCGAAGCATTACCGAAAAATGAGAATTTCCGTCTGAAGTCCACCGCCTGCCCAACAATGTACTTCACCGCCATTACGACATGCGCGGTCCCCTGGACCCGACGGCACCCGTCTGTATAGCCCAAACAACGCCGTCAAGACTTGTGCCTTGGAAACCAACCCATAGCCTAAGTCCTCGGCTTTCGGAGTTGAACCAAGCCTTGCAATTGCCGCTATCAATTTTCCTTACTTTTTAGCGTGCCTTTCGGGAGCTGTCTTTCCGTGTTTCACAATGCTACCAGCATCCTGCGAACGGAAGAATGCCGGGGAAATAAATTCGATCGTCAATACCATAACATAAATGTCCTGCGGCTGGTGCTTAAAACCCTTCGGATCGTCAACAAAGGAAATAGCTGGAAGGGAGCAGTCCGCTGGTAGCTACTAGTAATGTATGTCATTTTTCAGTGTGAATTGAACGAGAGAAAATACGCGTACGTCATCCAGGTTAGCAATTACGCGTCCCAGTCCCAGTCCCGAGACTCAGGATCGACCTGATGTTTCTCCCTTTTATCAGTGACGGGGCCTGAACGTATGGCAATCCGAAAGAACGACTGGTTTTTATGTAATTGTAACATCATGTTATTCAAGCTGCGGTGTCTAGAGAAAATATAACAGATGGTAAACGACCGTGATAGTTCGGCAAGAAACTGGTTGCTAAATCTTTTTCCTTCCATCCAATTCCATCATGTGCGACCGTCGGACTGACACGGTAATTGGTGCTTTCCAGCTTCCCTTGTGATGTCTGCGAGTTCGGCGCAGGTTGTGTTTCAGCATTGCTCTAAGCCCGTACATAGCGCCCTGCTGCGACGGCCTTTCTCGTTACGTACGGTGAAATATACAGTGCTTCAAAGATCCATGTCCATGTTCTTTTTCGGAACCTGTTCAGCGTCTATTGAGCAGAGGATAGCAGTATCAATGAAATACCTACCATGCCCGGTACTACATCTTGCGATTTTTCGCACTAGTACTTGTCTGTCTAGTCCCACAGATATTATGGCTACTAGATTGAGAACGCGCTGGCCTTGCCGCTAAGGATGTGGCTGCATGTCTCTAGTTTTGGTTCAAGAGAGAGTTTGCATGACACCTTAAGTCGTCTTCTGTGGGCGTAGTACTAAAGATCCAAGATCTTCAGTTCAAATGGAGTCGAACATATATAAATTTCAAGCTTCTCATGGCTCAGTAACTGCAGTACTGTAAATGGGTTATTTAGCATGGGCCAGATATAATGATCCAGCGAAGAAAAGCAAAATAAATGGACACATTGGGAATTGAACCCAACACCTCCCGCATCGCAAATTCAGACAAAGCCATGCTAAGCGGGCGTGATAAACCAACTACACCATGTGCCCATGAGGGGCACGTATCACCGTAGCGACCTCATTCCAAAAGAAGGAACCAAGGATGCATCATAGCTTCGCTAATTGTCTTCCCCTGGCAAGTATAGGTTTGATAGATTCCTTTTGACCACCATTAGATTGCTGAGAAGAAAACACCAGGAATAAGGCCGTACCTCATATGCCTCGGGCACCTCCGTCTGATTCAAAGGCTCGGTCTGCACCCGCGCCCAAAGCGCCTCGTACACCCTCCCGTCATACACACCCAAAGCACTGCACACAACACTATAAGTCTCGCCTAATTTCAGGATCAAACACAAACCTATCGAGCTCCCAATCGGAGATTCCAAACGCATCCGTAAGCCCAATCGCGTTCGGGAGCAGCTCTCGGCAAATCTTTGAAATCGCCTTTCGGAGGGACTTCGTCTGGTCACCCTTGATCAGGTTGAGTGTCAAAAAATCTGCCAAGGATCCTTCGACCGTCGACAGGAGGTACTGCGGAAAGTCTAGTCAGCCTCGTCAAGTAAAGGATACACGCCTGCTTACAAGCATGAAAAGCCCTTTCAGCACCAAGGCATCCTCAGCCCTCAATGAGCTCTGTGCAGTGCTGATCATCTCTAGTACCTGCGTCGCTACGAACGCCTCTGCAACGGCCTTCGATACCCGCTGCGTGAGGCTGGTATCCGAATCATCGTCCGTTTCCGCCGCATCCTGCACCAACACTGCAGCACGCCATTCGAGCAGGAGTACGACCTCTGTTGGGTCCAACCATGAAGGAACGGGAAACTCCTTCCCTGGATGGAGAAGTCGAAGGTATCGAGAAAAGGGCGAGAGGGACGATGTATCATCCTTGGAGGCCTTGAGTGCCGCGCGTACGACCTGCTTGTCTAGCACAAAGTTCTCTCCTTCAAATCTGCAGACGTGTCAATGACTTTGTAGACTTTAACGGGAAAATAGAAGCCTACGTCACGCTGGGAAGGTAATCTGCGTACAACTTGCCGACCCCCGCAAAGGCGCTGTACCCGTGCCCTCCCATAGACCGTCTCGCTGATTCGATATCATCCATAATTGTCGCTGTGCATAGAACTTTGAGTCCACTGGTGATCGCATGCATTTCTGGCAACATGGACATGTTCCCAGATGCTAGCTGCCGTGAGAAGGTACCGAATGACTTGAACTGCAGGACGGTTAGATGCCTTTGTAGCTATCTGAGTGACCACATACCATGTTTCGCCCAAGGAGGACATATACGTATGCACGCGAGAGGATAGGTAGTAGCCGGCCATGCACAGACGGATAAGTGATAACTTGCTGCTCGAGACCATCTGGCCCCCTTTCCCCTTGTCGGCGAACGGTGGCATACCGTATGGCAATGGTAATAGCTATTGTCGTGGTCAATCAAAGCTCAGAGGTCGCTCATATCAGATTCACCTCGGGCAACCGCTGACCCCGAATGGGATATCATTCTACAAGCGTCAGGTATCAGACCAACACTACAGGCTACAGGTGAGTGATCCGTACCCGGAACGTATATACATCATCTAACAACAACAGGTCAGTTCTGAGGCATCATAATCAACAGAGGTGCTTACACCGCCATAGCTCAGTTTCGAGTGAGGCGGCTTGACATAAGTGCCATCTTCAGTGACCTGAGCAAATTTGGAGAGCATATTTTCCTTGGGTATCCGGTAGCGGTCAAACCGTGCATAACCATTGTCAACAGAAACGTATCCATTCAATGCCTTGGGGCCTAATAAACACTCAGAAGATGTACAATAGTAGTCTCTAAGAAAACGTACCGATATCGCCCGCAATGATACCAGGAAGAAGCTTATGGTCCTCTATTGAGCCAGATGAGGAACCTGGAAAGAAGGATGCAACAGGATAGACAAACCCAGAGACCGAAGCGGGACAAAAAAGAGATGCGGTCCCATATCCTTACCCCCGGGCAGGATTAACTTGGCTTGTAATACTCCGTGAGTCGCGGTCTTCCCCAGCGCTCCAATCCACCACTTCGTACTCGTCAGTGTGGGCGAGTGGATCTCGAACTCTTGGGTCTGTGGAATAAAAGTAGCAGTTGTCTCCAGCTGAGCGACGTTAGAACCATGGCCGAGCTCGGTTTGCAAGTAACATCCGAGGATGCTGCGTGTAACCACCAGTTTCGCGTACTTATCTAATAGAGCCGGCGATCCTTGACCACTAATAACAGGTTCAAAGGCTAGAAATATATCGGTTAATGCCATGGAAATCATAAAAGAACACCGTACGTACCATCGCTGTGCAGACCCGAAGGGAGGCGATCATCGAGGACTGAGAAGGCGACAACGGTATCACCTTTTGACCATCTCAAGTCCTGCTCGAGTTGATATATGCGATTTGTCATCCGCTGACCTCGGCTGTACGCTTCCGTTCGAGTGATAAAAGGTCTGGTTCGTGTCAGTAAGGAGGGGACATCATCTACAAAGCTCACCTATTCGTTTTATCGAACATGGGGTCGCTAGAAAGAACTTTTTCGATCCTCTGTTTTTGTTCCCAACGCGCAAGACCGTCTATATCGTATGTGAGACTTCCATTCCAAGGCAGAATACCAAACAACGAATACTTGCCGTACAACAAGTTCCTCACTGCTGCAACATCGATGGTAGCGCTCTCGCGGGCATTCGTCATATCGACAGTGTTCTGCATGATGGAAGTCTGAAAGTGAGCGCTGTCAACGTTTCGCCGAGTCAAATTTATGGTCCGGCTTGATGGGTAACCGAGCCGAAATTGACGCCCAGGATCCGATGATGGATATCGTTCCTGCTGACAAGGATCATTTGAACATCTTTTCGAGAAACATATGCGCCGCAAATGAGCAGATGATCATGGAGGGCAATAATGGTAGAGGATGGTGGTCGTGAACTGAGAGAGTCAGTCACAGCCATCACGCCTGATGTCACCGAACACGTCTGTGGCGTGAGAACATGGGCACAACTTTGCCCCATTTGTTGCACTGAAAGACAAATGGGCAAATCCAAGTAGCAGTGCAAGATGTAGGTACTCCGACGGTCCATACTATTCAGAAGTGCTCTCCACCCAAGCGATGAGATTTATGTAAAATATACAGTAGTGCCATACTCTGGATGCATTTTAGCTGAAGATAATTCATTGATGAATTTGACTTTTGATTTCAAGCAGGATGTCAAGACTTGATGCATAATGCTCAGAGAGATCCTACTGAGATTCTGCTGCTTGTCTTCAAAATAAAGAGAATGTGCATCCTAGGCAGTCCATTAAAAATATTTTGGTATCAACTGACATACTTTTGCACAGTCCACCTCTATCTGAAATATCTAGTTCTTATCTCATATTTCATGATATGAGATAAGATGTCCTACATGACCAGACTAACAATTCCAGCTCCTCTTCCAGCTTCTCTCAGTTGAAAGCTTTGATGGGAGTCTTCATGGGTTTGCCTTCATAATCTCCATTGATGGCAGGCATTATCAAGGGGAAAATGACATAATAGTGGAACATGGCATGAAAACAAACGAGGCAGGACTTGGATTTCTCACCTCAAACTCCTCAAAAACATCATTGAATTGCCAAGAATCATGACAATAAATCCTGTTCAGTTAAAGGATTGATTGGCTCAGTGCTCTTCAACATAAACTTCACACTGCTCAACAACAATGTGTTGATCTACACCATCATGTTTCTCTCAGTTCCACATATCTATGTGCTTCACCAGATGAGGCTCATCTCACCCTACATTCTTTGCTGATGAATTCTCAGACATGTAAACAATTCAATGGACTCATGAGGCTACAAATGGTATGGATAAATGCTCTCAAATGTACATTCTGTCCAATGATTACCCTTTCCCTCTCAATGGCACTTATATAGAGCCAGATCTCAAACACTGCACATGACATGCCTACTGACTCATGTTCCAATGGCTGACTTTTCTCCAATGCCTAAGAAGCAGATGTTTCAAATCACAGTACCTGTGTCAGAGGTCAATTTCATACCAGGGCAAGAACACAAGTAGTTGCTGACATCATCAAAGGGAACACAGTCAGTCCTGATGATCTGGGACATCATGCAGCAACAAAAGTGCTCAAAATGGTCCTGATGCCAGAGAGACCTTGAATTCACAGATGTGAAGGTTAATGATAGACAAGAGTCTGATGCCAGTGCTGTGGTCTCATTGTGAGCATTTTTTAATCTACTGAATGAGGACTGATTTCTATAGGTTACAGAGAATTGCCCTCCTTCAGTTGCATGATGATGGAAGATTGCATAAAATCTACTGCATCAAAATCAACCTCTGTCTCATCATCCTCACCAGTGACATCCTAGCACTAACCAATCACACTGCTATCACACTCATCTACAATTGAAAGACCAATGAATGCACATACCTTGACATGCCATCCAACCTTTGCCTCCAACTCATTTTAAACCCATCCAACATCTTCATAGTGTGTGCCAAGTCCATCTCTCACTACATCCTTCCATCACCCACAGCTGTCTCCATACACCCCTTTGGCTCCATTGATGGTGCCAGTGCAACCTCTGTCTCCATCCTTATCCATGGTAATGTTCCCCACTGGGAATTAAACTGCAAATCCTTCAAGTACTACTCCCTATTATCCTTTCCACTGAAGCTTATCAGTAAAATGTTCACCTGTCATCAGCCCATCCAATGTCCAGACATTGTCCTCAGCAAGTGGGCCACTGCAGTTTGGATACAGTCTGATAACAGCCACTGGTTTGCAGGCTAAAGCAGGCAGTCTTTTGAGGCCCTCATTGCAGCCATATTTCTTGATCCACTTAACCACATAGCCTGTGTCTGTATTTACAATATATGGATAAATGTGATGGAATCATGGATCACAATAGACTATGATGAGAATCTCAGGAGGATTGTGCTTGCATCCTACCCAGGGCAGATCAAGCTTTTCCAATTGTAGTTGAAATTCATTCTCTTTGGGACTGTTAGAGATTAAGCTCTGACTCAGACATTCTTTAATCTTTAGTTTTGTCTTGTTCCTTGACTCAACAAGTGTATTTCATTTCCTTCTACTACCCTACATGACTTAGGAATATCCAAATGCTGCCACAATTCTTAGAATCCACTAGACTACTATAGAATTAGCTAGTATATTTGCTTTACAACCTATATCATGAATGGCACCTCTGACATTGAGAGGCATCTCTGACCCTGAAAAGTTCTCAGAAACAGAGTTTGACAGTTATTTTACAGCCTCTTGCCTACTGCTTGATCATGACCCACTTCCCACATGCAGGGCTTAGGGGACATGGGATTCAGAAATGTATGAGTGGTGGTCACGTTTGTGGCCATCAAGGCTATTTCGGGGATGTTGGAGTAGCTTCGACGAATTGCAAGTCGCGGAACCTCGCTTCCAAATCTGATGCATCCGCAGAACCATCAGGCCGTCAATCTAGTGATGTGCAGGCCGGGCTTGGCCGATACCGGCTCGGATTTTGGGGGCTCAGGCTTGGCCACCCGGCTCCCGGTCGAGTTTTTGTTGTCCGATGCCCGAGACTACCTGAACACTTTTGGAAAAGTGTGACGAGTAACGGGGCCGGTGCACGACAAATATAGTAAGGTTTCGCCGCTGCACCGCGCATATACACAACGCTTATGGGCACTATCCAGTGAATGCTGATGTAACGCGTAACATTCTGTGAACCCTCCACGATGTGTGTGTGATATGATGATGATTATATTGAGATAATGCCTAGGCGCGTTCAACTTTTTGCTCAAATAGCGAGATCCATCAGAGGCGCTGTAGTTCATTTGTGATCTTCAGCCATGTCAAATGTCTCACTCAACAGTACACTCGGTGCGTTCGTTATTGGTGCTGTTTTGGGAAACATGTACGTCTATTTTAGCTTCTCACCATGAAACTACATGATATCGGTTCTGCGCAGTCTCTTTGGCATAACGTGCCTTCAATCGTCATTGTATTACGGAAATTACCCGAATGACGGGTAGATCTATAAGACTTCAGTTTGTGTTTATCATCTCACTCGAAAGACTCAATACTGATGATGTTGCTGATGACGAGCAGGTAGGGATTATCTGGTAGGTTTCTTCACTTGACTTCCATTTTGATGTATCTGAAAACTACGCATAGGGTCCTAGATACTATCGACATTGCAGCTACCACCCATGTTTGGTATTTCTATTCTGTCAAGAACTTCGGGGATGTTCAAGCTTTTACTCAAGGTACCATCGTGTGGTATGTTCTAGTTCATAGGATGTTTTCTGTTATTCATTGACTTGCCTTCTGCATAGGAGTTTTAAGGTTTGTGTTGTGTCTTCTCGATCTGACCATGTTACTTGAATCGCCCAGCTGCATATCTTGATTTGTGTATGTACCTGATCATTCATATCTCTTTATCGTGAGCTTCATTCTAAATTTTCACCCAGGTCGCTATCCGAGTCTTTGTCCAAGGGTGAGGATTCACACTTGACTCATTCACGGCCGAATTGAAATGTCTCCTGTGTAGGGTGTATGCGCTATGCTTATGGAAACGTACATTCACATACAATTAGTGGGAAAACACTTTTACAACGCGACTGGCATACTGTGGTTCATCGTATGTGGAATACGCATTTTTGTATCTCTTTCAATGATCACCTTCTCGCCATTCATATTCTTCTCACTGCAGGCAATACCGGTGCAGATAATCCTTCCACTCTCCGGCCAAAATTCTTTATTAACGACTAACACCTGATAGGTTGTGGGATATGTAAGTCTTGTATACTATTTTCCCATGATACACCAATGACGGGACATCCTGCAGACCTTGTTAAAGATGTGTATGCGCTCAGCCAATTCGCACTATTCATTCAATGCCAATGATATCCTCTATAGCTTTCGGTTCCTAGCTTCTCCCAAACACCGTCCATCAGGGTCCGCATTCAATATCAATGTCTCGGACCCACTATCTTACTTCAATGCAGAACGCTCTCATCTCGTTGTTTTCCACTAGCGTAGCAGCCGAGTTCATCTTGTCGGTTGCGATGATCTACATTCTGAATAAGGGCAGGACCGCTTCAGTGTTTCCCGGGTCAGTTTATTTATTTGCGTGTTAATGCCTCTCCGACGCCTGTACAGCATCATTGCGACACTTGTAACATTAATGCAGTTGGTTCTAATATCAGGGTTAGCTACGAGGTCAGTAAATTCCCTTCCAATTTTTCGCCGTGGCCTGACGACAACCTACTTAGCTTGTATTCGATGTTCATTCTGGTTGCGGTATTATCCATGGTTCGTCCGAATGATACCGGTGCTCGCAATCCATGTCACAGTTTGTCGTTTGGCCAGATACTCTCATATTCTTCGGCGTCGATTGTTTACAACCTAAAAGTCAGTCTTTCTGACATTAAATCCATACTGAATATTGTGATGTTAACCTTTACTTATAGTCTTCATTAACTCTCTGTTGGCTATGTACGTTCTCAGGTAACGATTTCATGGACGTTCACTCAACTTCAAATATGATAGGCTGAATGCAAGGAAAATGATTCGAAATGTGGATCAATCCATCCGCCTACAAACGAGTGACTCCTCTGGATTGGCTCCCGAATGTGTACGGGACCACTGTAGGAAGGATAAAGTACGTTCCCCGATATCCACTTGACGTATATTAACGGGCTGGTAGCAAGCCATTGTTGTACCAATGAATACTGAGTCAGAAACTGTTTGATTTCCACTCATATGCTAGTTGTATTTATGATTGCGCTTTCCATATTCAGAGCACTAGTCATCATAAAATGAACAGAGTTTAGATACCGCAAACGCGTTGTCCATTTGATGTCTGCTGGTGTATGCTGATCCTTCAGCTAGTCGACCGCCTACTCTCGGTTAGTGAGTCAAGTTCGAAGTACTTGATGTGTACCAAGAATACTGAGTGATCATACTCGTCAACGTCTTTACATTACCATGTCCTCGTGAAACAAGCAAAGGAAGTCGCTAATTTTTCCTGCGAAGTGCGCCAACTAGACTACACGTCTCCTGCACACCGAGGCAAAGGGATAACAGGACTAGTAATGAACGGACGAACAATTATGAACGAGATCAAGAAAGGTCGCGCACCACCGCATCCTAGGAAGCGCGTTCGTAGTGGGTTTTCTGGAGTCCGGAAAAAAAACTGGAAGGGCATCATGTGACTGTGGAATGCCCTTCAGCGGTCTTTACTAGAACCACCATCAGCCACCGTCTCTCTACTCACTAACGCGTAACCCCTTTCGTTTTGTTCCGTTGCTCTCGATGGTATCAAATTATCAAATTATCAATGTACATCTAAGACAGTCTTCTGGGAACATATGCCAGATGCGACGTGTTTGCACGATTCGTGAGTCCTTGTTCATCACCTGTCGAAGTTTTGTCAGTGTGTTTTTACAGGGTAAGACAAAGAGGGTAAAATGGCAGAGCGACTACATGAATTCCTCCCCAAAAGAAAATTCAAGCAGGCCCGGCCCGACTTTGGATGTTTCCTCTGGCGAGGCCATTCAACTCTTGGCCTCAGTGACAAGATCAATGTAAAAGGTTCAATGGTGCGTGAATGTTCGTGAAACACTTATTCCATGCTCTAATATCGTTTCGGTTGGACAACAATTCACTGATGATCCCCAACAGCACTGCATTTTCAATTTGACTTTCAATTTCGAGATTGACGCCAAGCCTTTACACGTATCCCCAAAAAGGACTTTGATGAGATTTGACCGCCGCTCTTTCTGACACGTTCAAATTCGGGTTCGAAATAGAGGGATCGTGCGTTCTAGATAGCTCGTTGAAACCATCTTGGTATCGACTGACATTCTTTCCTTCAGTCTATCTCTATCTGCAATATCTATCGGTGGTAGCTGGCTGAGCCTATGATTGAGTGCTGCCTACAGCCTACGGTTCGTCATGTCTGTGGTTATTCCCTTCGTACCCTCATATACAGTGGGAGGAACGTTGGTCTCTTTTGAAATACCGCGCTCGTTCCTCGGGCTATTTTCTCCTGCTGTGGAGTGCAGTCGTTATGCGGTGTGGTGATTGTAACTATGGACCATATGCAACGGACGTTACGGATTGCATTTCCATTTACAGAAAGCGAATGGTGAGCACCTCGCCGAAAGGTAAGGATTCGTCGTTAACTGCGAGGATACTGTTGACTTAGATCGTTCATGCAATCCTTGACCTCTATTCACCACGGCGGTATCTCACACACAGTGCTATGGATCATGGTCCTCGTCAATCATTCCTGCTGATCACACAAACATATCATCACCGCTCAGCGCTCGCGTACCACATGCTCGGTGTGCAATTCGTAGGTGGCCTACTTACCTCGCTCTGGTCATGAAACCAGTGACAATGTCATGAAACATAGAAAGCCATGTATAAAAGCCGTTCGAGACGAGCTATAGCAGACCATTCCTCCTTTTCTCTTCGCTCCTCTCTTACGTCCTTTGTACTTCAATTCACTATGTTCGCACCAGCAGCCGTGAGTGGTCTGTTATCCTAGAACCTTATTGCTCATTTTAATACACACCGACGCCAGTTTATTACGCTTTTGACTGCCCTTTCTGGCGTCGCAGCTGTACCCTTCAGCCAGCTCGTCAGGACCCTTCCTAAGGACATTTCCCACGTCGCCGTCGACGAGGCCCACGGACACTACCTCGCTTTCAAGCGCGACGGTTCTCTATACGGCAGATACCCTGTCGATGCACAGTCCAACGGCCTCGAGCGTCGTGCCGCCAGCCAGTGCGCCCAGCTCTCGGTAGATGAAGCCAAAACTCGTCAGTGGCCATGTCTCTTTCGTTTTCTGTCAGGCTGATCTGTATCCGTGCAGTTCCCGGATGGGATGCCATCGTGCAATATGCCAACAATAATTGGGGCGATGGTTCCCGCACCATTGTTACTAACCCTTCCGACGTGCGATCCTTCATCGCCTCATCAAATCATTCCCTGACCATTCTTCCAGTACGTCGACAGTCCTGCCCAGGTTTGTATCACAGACGATGTCGTCGAGCTCAGTTTCTCCGGTACGTTCAACTTATCACCCTTTTGGTGTTCATTCCAATTCGCGGACAGGCGACCCGGTTTGCCAGACGCACACCACCTCTTCTGAGGGTAGCCTCGTTGGTACTTCTGGTGAAGTCGATATCGAAGTCGACCAAGGCTTCAACACTGACACTTCTTACACCCTCACCAGTATGTCTTCTCATCTCTCTCTATGAGCATTCAGTTATTGATATGATATCTAGCTGCATCAACGATTGGAGTTTCAGACACATTGACCGTCAAAGTGGGCGTTCCAGAGGTAGCCGAAGTGACTGACGCTTTGACCATCTCTACCGAGGTCACGGACACGACCTCGAGCACGTACGTTAGACCGTGTTTAAGGCTCTACTTCTCCCGTTTATATGGTCCATTAGCTTCGACGTATCCTACAACGACGTGAGCAAAGTCACCATAAAGATGACTGCTCCAGAAGGCAAGACTTGTACGGCTACGGTTAGCTTTTCTTCGAGGAGGTATTTGCAGTTGGCTGACTGTCGAATCTTAGACCAGCACCAAGACTTGTAACATCCAGGCAACAGGAAATATCCGTTACCTCGCGAGCGGGTGGGTTTGGTTCAACTACGACGATGAGACTGACGGTCACTACAAATGTTCGTATTCTTCCGCGCCTGTTTAAAGACCCTAACATGACATCATCACAGGGGCTGCTAGCATCGAAGCGGTCCTCACGAACCAGGATGACCGCTCGAGCTTTGCCGAGTTCAAAGGCTCTATGGTGGCAAATACCCAGACTAGCTATGCTGGCACCTGCACGTAACTGTATCGCCATGACACCAAAATTTGAACTTTAAGACTTCAGCTTAACATATGATTTATTTCGTTTCATGCCCTGGCATTGATCCATACTATTTATGCTTACAATCCGTATACCATTTCGTTTGTGCCTTGAGTTGCAATAAATGGGCTTTCCTGCATGTTCATTATCGGACCAAGGCTTGATGTCGGGACAGAAGTAATTTCTAATGACATTTTTTAACATAGCTATGGAATACAAGACTGGTATGCTCTGTTTCAAATGATGTGGTGCTTTAGAACCTCCAATACCCTTTCATTACTTTATACATTAGTTTTCAATTAGCTAATATCTGGACATTAATTAACACTTTTATATAAGAGTATTTTGTGTCTTTGTGTGCAATCTTGGATGAGATGGACATAGGACCCATTGTGAGCATGAAGTTTAATTAAGAACATTGGCATCCAGACCAAAGCTGACAATCACATAATCTAATCAGGCCATTTTCTGAATATATGTCCTCAAAGTGTATATAATCTGAGTGTGATGTAAACAATTAAACTTGTCAACATTAAGCAAAAAGGACCCTGTCTTTCATATTAGTTGTTGCCTATTTAGGCAATAATCTGACTAAGCCAATCATTGAGCTTGATAATAAATATCAAATTGTAATCATAGTGAATATAAAATACATCTCTATAATGCTATAATCTTATAGTTATAATTTGTATGATACATGGTGGCCAAGTTGAGTGTAATTCCTATCCAATGTTTTATTTTATTTATAGATCACATGATTTTCACTATCTGGATGATTTGCTTTATCTTCATATTTGAAATTCACCATTGAGCTATGGATATTGGCAAAGTCAGCACCTGTATCAGCCATTCAAGCTGAAATATTTTTTGCATTTGTCTAAGACCATCCAGTCTTTCATTGAGGACCTGTACTGTGTGTGTTGCATGTCTCCATTAATTAATATTACAGTGTCATAATTATGCTTATAATACTTGCTTTTTGTATATGATATTCTTTCAGCCACTAATTTTTTATCATAGCTTGGAAAACAAGGCTGATACTATATCAAGTGTCTATAAAATAGTTCCCATCTGGTTATCACCTTAAATAAAGGGTTTGACAAAAAATAAATAACTTCAATCATCAATTGTTCATATATATTTGTATCAGCATCTTGGAAAGGCTTCCACAGCATCAACGGAGATGTAATTGCCTAAGATAGAGCACACTTTTGATAATCCCAATCAAGATAGAAATAGCAAGAATGAAAATTGAATTTGCCTTATCTGTTGCAGACATTTTCTCCGGGGTCACAGTACCTTGTATAGTAAGAGCAAATATGTGTAAATACTGGGTATTGACATAACCGGTGTATAACCGGAGTATACCAGTCTTGTATTCCATACATAGCAGTTCACCATTCTAGAAAACTGTGTAGAAATAGGATGTTATGCCAGGAATTTGCATCACAACTAATCTTTACATCCTCATAACATGCGAAACTGAATACAACTTATTCAATGTGTAATGATCCATGAGATCAAAGCATGTGCATACAGAGCTCCGGGGAGCTCTACTATTTACGTTCGCATTGTACTACCAATGCGATCTTATGAATTGTAGCACAGCCACACAAATCTTTTCATTTGACATCTCATCATTACACGGCACCGTACCACGCCTGAGCAAGGAAACATGTAACTGCACTATGAAGTTGTAACTTCACTAGTCAACCTCGAAGCCGAGCTTATGACCAAGCAACCCAAGCCATCGTAGAACTTGAAGATCTATAGACGAGGAATCCAAAATTAATAATCCCCCCACCTAACCACCGCGGCAGGCCGGAGTCATCGTCATCATAGGTGTTGAGCCAAATTATTATGGAGGCTGTCGCATGAAATACATGGTGCCTACCACGTTTGATATTTCGCGGCAGCGGGAGATGATCAAAAACACTGCGTCATTCACTGGACATAAACGAATCAAGATGGACCGCGCTTCCTTTTGAATGGGACCGAAAAAATCCATTCTTTATTTTGGGTCTTTATACCAATGCGCCGTGCACGTAAACATTGACAAGAATTAGGGTAGTAAACCTTTTATACCATTGCAAAAAATTCAGAGGTGACACTACTCTTCTGATCGGGACTATCTGCGCCAATAGGAGAATTTTTTTCTCGGGTTATATTTGGGAACGCGATGATGTCGATGTTTTGTTTGTTGGATCGAAACATCAGCCATATTCGAAAAAATTTCCCCCAGTACGTTCCCCCGTCTTCAGCGCGGTTCGCTGTTCTCTGAGTCAAATTCCTGTCTAAATAAGCCAGTATGCCTGTTAATTGTAGTCTTAAATCAGATCTTCGAGCTGCCTTTGATGCTCTCCAAGTTCATGAGAAGCCGACTGAGCCGACTGATCCGTGGGAGTCGCAGTGTCCTGGAGAATTACTCGGTGTGGAATCAGCACAGATCATCCTGACCGGTATTGGAAACGCACCGTTTCTCCTCTGGTATGGGCGTCACAAACCTTACAGCCAAGATAATCCACTTAATACCTGAGCCTCAAAGACCACCAACTAACCTGTGGAAGATGCTGAGCTTCCTCAGACCGCCTTAGCTATCCTCTTACACAACGTAGAGCACACACCGTTCTTTTTCTATTCTTGTTGCTCATCAGCGCGTCTTTACTTATCTTCTGTGTCCTCTCAAAGATCCCGAGACCAGACATCAACGGTTACTTGAATACCATCCTTCATGCTTCATAAAATCCTTTATGGTTGGATATAATGCGGGAACAACGATAACGCCAATTGTGCTATTCTTAAATACTTTACAGCCTCCTGCACGTCTAGACATGTTCCATATCATGATGGTCAAGTTCAATATAAATACAGTACCTGAAGGCATTTCATTCCTTGCTTAAAAGCGAGATCCGTGGTTCATTTTTTGATCCTCAGCCTCCATGTCAGACGTCTCGCTCAACAGCACACTCGGTGCATTCGTTATCGGTGCTGCCTTAGCCAACATGTGCGTGTGCTTCCCACCGCAAAACTAATGTTGATTCCATGCAGTATGTTTGGCATAACATGTCTTCAATCCTCAATGTACTACAAAAATTACCCGAATGATGGGTGGATCTATAAGGCTTCCGTTCGTCTTTATCATCTCACTCGAAAGATTCGATATTAATGATGTTGCTAACGATGAGCACGTAGGGATTATCTGGTAGGTTTCTTCACTTGACTTCCATTTTGACATATCGAGAAACTATGTATAGGGTCCTAGATACAATCGACATTGCAGTTACTACCCATGTTTGGTATTTCTATTCTATCAAGAACTTTGGGGATGTTCAAGCTTTTACTCAAGGTACCATCGTGTGGTATGTTCTAGTTCATAGGATTTTTTCTGCTATTCATTGACTTGCTTCCTGCAAAGGAGTTTTAAGGTTTGTGTTGTGTCTTCTCGATCAGATCATGTTACTTGAATCACCCAGCTGCATATCTTGATTTGTGTGTGTACCTGATCATCCATACCTCTTTGTCGTGAGCTTCATTCTAAATTTTCACCCAGGTCGCTATCCGAGTCTTTGTCCAAGGGTGAGGATTCACACTTGACTCATTCACGGCCGAATTGAAATGTCTCCTGTGTAGAGTGTATGCGCTACGCTTATGGAAACGTAAATTTTCTTGTCTCAACGCCTAGTTCCACCCTGACACATACGGTTAGTTGGACAACACCTTCATCAATGGATACTGTGGCTGGTTGTATGTGGAACATGCATTTCTGTATTTCTTGTAATGATCTCCTTCCTTGCCGTTTCAGGTTCTCGTCACTGCAAGCAACGCCGGTGAGGACAATCCTTTCTCTCTCCGGTCAAAATTCTTTATTAACGACTAACACCTGATAGGTTGTGGGATATGTAAGCTTTATATACTATTTTCCTGTGATCCATCAATGACGGGACATCCTGCAGACCTTGTTAAAGATGTGTATGCGCTCAGCCAATTCGCACTAGTCATTCAATGCCAATGATATCCTCTATAGCTTTCGGTTCCTAGCTTCTCCCAAACACCGTCCATCAGGGTCCGCATTCAATATCAATGTCTCGGACCCACTATCTTACTTCAATGCAGAACGCTCTCATCTCGTTGTTTGCCACCAGCATATCAGCCGAGTTCATCTTATCTGTTGCGATGATCTACACTCTGAATAAGGGCAGGACCGCTTCAGTGTTTCCCAAGTCAGTTATTCATTTGTTTCTTAATGCCTCTCCGACGCCTATACAGCACCATTGCGACACTTGTAACATTAATGCAGATGGTTCTAATATCAGGGTTAGCTACGAGGTCAGTAAATTCCCTTCCAAGTTTTCGCCGTGGCCTGACGACAACCTACTTAGCTTGTATTCGATGTTCATTCTAGTCACGGTATTATCCATGGTTCATCCGAATGATACCGGTGCTCACAATCCATGTCATAGTTTGTCGTTTGGCCAGATACTCTCATATTCCTTGGCGTCGACTGTTTACAGCCCAAAAGCCAGTCTTTCTGACATTAAATCCATACTGAATATTGTGATGTTAACCTTTACTTATAGTCTTCATCAACTCTCTGTTGGCTATGTACGTTATCAGGTAACGATTTTCATGGACGTTCACTGAACTTCAAATGTGATAGGCTGAATGCAAGGAAAATGATTCGAAATGTTGATCAATCCTTCCGCCTACAAACGATTGACTCCTCTGGATTGGCTCAGGAAGGTCTACAGGACCACTGTAGGAAGGATAAGGTATGCTGCGCGATATCCATTTGACGTATGCTAACGGGCTGACAGCAAGCTATTGTTGTATCAATGGATATTGAGTCAGAAACCGTTTAATTTCCACTCATATTGTACATGAATCAGCCTATCAATCAAAATCCTTTTTACATACTATCGGCAAGCCAGGAGAGCGTAACTTTCCCATCAATGTCTTCACCATACCACCGAGAGCCAAGCGAAGAAACTCACCATAAAGGCCCGAAATTAGACCGCGTCCACTGTACATCAAGCCGATGGACCTGAGGCCAATGGATTAACAAACAGACGGACTGAGATCAATGAGGGCTCGTCTACCACCGCATTGTCATCGTAGGTGTGGCCGTTTTACAATATATCCATAGTCCAAGAAGATTCCGAGCTGGTCTGGTAGCGCAAATTCATCAGATCATTAACATGCGTCGGTTCAGCCATCTGCAGAGTGCATCCAAACGACGGGGCATGTGCGTGCGATTTTGCGAACTTTGAGGTAGCGAGCCGTGAGTTGTGACAATCAATAAATCAAAAAATTCATAGATCTTTGAGCACTCTTTCGTAGCAGGACGGACACTTGGTTAATCCGGCATGTTTGATGGAACCTGTATAGGGCCTGAAGGTAGGGAATTCATACGCTTTTGGCGTGGAGAGAGTGTCATTGAAGTTGGTCTTGCAGGTAGCTTCTATAATCACCGTAGCGGTGCAAGTCCTACCCGCCGGAGCAGCTCTACGGTGACTTTGGTCACGTCGTTGTATGATGCGTCGAAGCAAATCGTAGAACACGCACTGGAGTCTTAAAGATGGTACAACGTACGTGCTCGAAGTCGTATCTGTAACCGAAGCAGAGATAGTCAGAGCCTCGGTTACTGCAGAGCGAGTATCCAATCCGAAGCCACTTCACCGGTATGCGAGCGGATGTCAAGTCGATTTATGAGGTTGAAGGAGAAGTCCGCATCCAAAACAAATTGTTGAAATAAAGCCAGGTGGAAGAATGGAGCGGAGACTTACTTCTGACTCTTTCTCGCACGGATGCCCCGCTGGGTGAAGCTTACCACAGAGAAAGCTGATGCAGTCTCGGAGCTGAAAAGAGTTGTTGATGAACGGCACCAGTGGAAACAGCAGATCAAGAAAATTAATGAATCAGAGGAATACCGTTCGCTCCAGAATTAGCTGAAGGGACTTCGGCAGTCTGTGGGCTCGACATCAATGGATAATACGACGAGACATTGACAATCGAACCTCGTGACTTTGCCGATAAAGACAATATCAATCTGGATGATCCGATAGGCAGTCAAGCTGCCATTATAAAACCTGTTGGCATATTGTGAACCCTGGGTCTACAAATACCACTAACCGGCCATCTGACGATTCGGCAAAGTATGATAACTGGAATAACATGTAACCATGAGATGCTCCATGTGTTGATAGATCTGCCAGACTCAATTCCAGGTATGTAGCGATTCTCGTGCTGTTTTGATCAGACTCTTATCCTTCGCTTCAGATATTCAATCCAGCAACGAGTCCTGCGCAGACTGGGAGTGTTTTTATTACTCTGTGTTTGCCCAATGATTCATTACATGTATAACGTGGATCAGATATCAATAAAGATTCGGATACCTATATAAAGCGTAAACGCATACTGTCCGGACTTAGAATAACATCATTACTTTTCCAAGCCCTCCAGATCTACGATGACATCGTTGTTAAAGTCAATTCCACCAAAAAACTCAAACCCACAGAAAAGGCATTAGTCTCTAATCCACTGTTCCACTGTTTGGGCACCCCTCTATTCTGAAGTGCTGGAATGCCACAGAACTGCTGATGAAACATCATGGAAGGATCGCTCGCCATAAAAACCCCAGCCTCACCAACACAATGACCAACCTACCCATCTTCATCCTTGTTCCCCGCCGCGTTCTTCCTCAGCGGTCCCTCACATGTCCTCCCATACGCCACCATCACCCTATTGTCTCATTACTCGCCACCAGAACACCTCCAGCCACCATCGCAGTACCGTCGTCGGGAACGTTCTTGTCTGCACCTCCATCACCTTAGCACCATGGTGGAGAAATCAACGCTGGCGCTGGCACATTGATATCACACGAGACACTACAAAGAACGGACTGCACGTCATCATCACATGAACTGCTCGTCAGAGAGAAAGCGATCCCCAAATGTTCGTCCGGCCCATTGAAGGAACCTTTCTGGATATCTTGTTATTGTTATCAGCGCCGAATAGCATATAGGTCTAATTGTCCACGAGATAATTCTCCTTTGCTCTGCGCATACGTGCTCAAGTTCAAATACGGCTTCGCGAGTGCCTATCTCACTGTCTGGATGGTTCAAGTATTGCAGAGATAGTATCTACGGGTCGCGAGCCTGTCCATACGAGAGTATTGGGCTTCACAGTTGTCTGAAAGGTAAGTGCAAGCATGTGAAAGATCAGTCGTTACTGGGTAGCGAGGGAAACGATAAGACATACTGCTCCACGGAGAGGTAGACTAGATTGTCGCTGTGCGTATCAACAAAACCGGTATGCGATACGTTCTCGGACGTTCAGTAGCTTGTTGTGACACTCGGACTAATGAGTTCGTGTTCTTGATATTGGCAGCACTGGCCAGGGAGGGGATGAGCTCTCCAACTTTTGAACGTAGTCTGACAGTTCATATCCCTACGAAAAATGTAAGGGAAATGCAGTTCCAAGCAGGATTTGTTGCCATACATCAGAGTGCGCTCATAAATGTCAAGTTTATTACCGGCTTTGACCAAGAAGATGATCACCTATAACCAACTAGAGGTATATCCGCTCCGGGGGATCTATAATTCAGAAATGAGCTTCAACTTTATGGTATCTATTTTTATATACCGGTCAAGTATTGCCGCCAGGATTAAATTGAACAAAATCCAGAGAGCGAGAATTAGAGACCCAGTATTGTGCTCACAGGGTCAGTAACCTGCCCTGGCCCTAGAACTGAACCGAAGAGCACTACCTTGAGGCCCTCTGCATGAAGACCACGGCTGGCATTGAGGGCCGACGGTGCTGGCGAGAGGGGTCAGCATATTGTATTGCAGCGTCTAAAAGACCCTTACATCTCCGATTCACCCTCCCGCACTATGTAATAGCTTGGATAAGATTAATCCACCTCTCCTCCTAGTAGAAGAAGACAAACAAGGGCGACGCATATACCCATTTGTTCAAGGTCAACGTTCGCCGTTTCTGCGCTTTTACCGGGCGTAACCGTAAATGCTACACTGGAGAAGAATTCAGCTACATGGTGGATTACGTGGAGAGGGCAGCACCCACCAGCAGATCGCCTTCAGAATTCCAGGACTTCTGCAAATGGCGTGCGTCCATCGTATTCCTACATCATGTAAGGGGCCTCGCCTTGCGCCATCAAGGTCAAATTCGTTGGTAGTCTCTCCAGAGTATCTTATTCGAATGCATTACCTAGGCATATTATCAGGAATTGGCCTGGACGTGCATATGGCGCATGCCGTACCCAAAATCTACTACCGGTCACTGGAAAAGAGCTCGCTCGTGCTTGGACCCTCCACCTCTTTCTCAAGGTTATATTTTGCCGACGGACAGGGGGCTTGACAACCCAGGACCTACAGAGGTATATATCTCCATCTTAACATACTATCAATGTAGTTGAGATTTTTATTTTGCAGTACTGTGAACACGGCGTCTCCAGTAGCGCAATGGAAGTTTACGAGTATCACCATCGTTTCTTACTCCTTTCATACTCCGCGATGGCCCTTTGTCGAGAAATCGGTGAAGTGGACGATGGACTAGGTATCTAGCGAACGTCCAAGGCCCCGTATCGAAAGTGGAATTGTTTATACAGAAAAGAGGAAGAAGATCATCCGTGCAATGAACGATCTCGATGCCTGGTGGGTACTGTTTTATTACGCATCAGTCGTCAAATAATGTTAGTTTATTATAATATTTTATTTATTGATAATATTTTCGACCACGTGATGGGAATTGATTAGATAGACTCTCTTTCATCAATAATTTTTTCTTTCTTCTCTTCTCTCACCGCGACGATGGCTGACGAGACGATGGTCGAAGCACCTGCCACCACTGTAGATGCTGAATCTGCTGCGACTTCTGTGACTGACGTCGTCATGAATGAAGGCGAAGAAAAGATAAAACTCGACAAAGCCGTTCGCCAGAGTGAGCCTAATACCCCCCATTTTTTTGCCCCATTCCCTCTGACTATTCTTCGTAGTCGAGTTTTACTTTGCCGACTCCAATCTTCCCTATGACAAGTAATTATTCTGCTTTTCTTGCTGTTTACATCTCCGACGAAAATTGGATATAGGTTTATGTGGACACTACACGCCAAGGACGCCGAACACTGGATACCTCTCAACGTTGTCACATCTTTCAAGCGGATGCGCGAGTATGCTCATCTGCTTGCTAAGATACCAGATGCCCTCCGTGCCAGTGAGCTTCTCGAGGTGGACGAGGCCGGGAAGCAGGTTCGACGACGGACGGAGCCCAAGGAACCGGTGGGGCAGTTCGAACGTAGCATCTATGCAGTGCGTCCAGTTTTTTTTTTTTTCCTTTCCTATAGTTGCCTTCTTCTGACGCATTCGCTACTCCCAGAAAGGATTCGGCTCCGAGGATGAAAATCCGAAACTCCAATCGCGGCTAGAGGATTTCTTCCAGTTCTACGGGAACACAAACGAAGTGCGCATGCGCAGAGATGAGGCGAAGAAATTCAAGCATTCCGTCTTTGTCGAGTTCACAGAGATGAGTGGCGTCGAGGCGTTTCTCAATGCCGACCCAAAGCCGACGTGGGAAGGGAAGGATCTGGTGATCATGTCCAAGTGCGAATAATCTCACTCCTTTATCGCGTTCGCCCTGACGCAAACTCACAGGGAAGATTATTGCCAAATGAAAGTGAAAGAAAAAGGTCTCACGGGAAAAGCGGCCCAGTTCCGCAAGGACCTCATCACGCGCCGGAAATTCGACGCGTTCAAAAACATGCGTAACGAGAAGAATACGAATGACATAGCGAAGGAGGTGGAGAAGAAGGACATCTACCTCGAGTATCTCGGCGCCAAGCTGCTCGTCACCCCAGACAGCAAGGGTGTTGGCACGGTGAAGGAGGAAGAGATTCCTTTCGTAAAGGGCGCGACTTTGAAGTTTGAGGGGGACTTTGACAATGTCTCATTTAACGCGGTCAAGGTTCGTCATGATGCTCTGGCCATTGGACCCTTTACTGACAGTCATCATGGTAGCAACCGATCCGGGACCTTTTCGAAGGCCAGACCCCGTTCATCAGGTACCAGCGCGGCGACCATCACGGTCTCGTTGGGTTCAGCAAAGCTCTGACCGACGAGGACATTGCCAAAGTCAAAGACGGATTCAAAAAGCTGGAGGACAAAGACCTCACCTGGTCCATCATTGGCGGTACGGTCTTTTCTGTCTTTCTACCTTTTCCTTCTCTCATTTGCAGTTTCAGAGGAAGAAGAAAAGACTTTCCAAATTGAACGTGCTCAGTCCGCGGCTCGTTCAGTCCTTCGGTGCTCGGAGGAAGGCGGGCCGATACGGGGTAGAGGGCGAGGCGGAGCGAGGGGTGGTGGTCGTGTTCGCGGTCGCGGCCGTGGCGGTCGGGGTGGTCGTGGTGGTCACGGCAGACGGGAGAACGACAGGAAGGATGCAGGTGGAGAAGACGCCGGCCCGGAGAAAGCTGGAGAAAAGCGGAAACGCGCCGTCGAACCTGATGGCGGCCCGGATGTTGGCGTACGCGGAGTTGGCGCCCCACCCGCCATCCAGAGCGCCAAAAAAATTAAGACGGACGATGGAGGGGCTGCACCTGCGTCGTGAGCGGTTGTTTTGCATAAATCCAAGTTAATATCATCAGTTATATAAAAGTAAGTTTGTAGCAGTCATGATCCTTATGTATATTCTGTGCAATCTTGTACTATTTACCTGCTCAATACAGAATGCAATGCCTACATATCAAGGACACTAGACTCAGGCCGTGTGCGTCTGTCAGTGATCAGTTATCTCCTAACTAGTTCATCCAGGTTTCCCGCGTCGAAGTTATGACCTGCCAGTGAGAGAGATTGTTGTCTACATCCTATGACATAAGGATACACGTCTGCTGAACCTTTCTTGCGCTCTTGTATGTCATTTTCAGTGAACACAACCTCGTCTGAAAGACTCCCGAATTCACTGGCTTTCAAGCGTTCAGTTCAGGGTATAACTACCCAGCTGTGTAGCTTTTACAAGTGAGCTTCTATGTAAATGTTCTATTTATTGTAACATATATAATGATCCTAAAGGTCGCTAGAGTACCATATCATTATGTCCAACAATAATTTATCAACTGTCAGCAGTGGGTCATCCTTGAAATACCACTTATCCTCGCAGCTCGTCGACGCTCTTCTCAACGTCCTCCACTTCTCCCACCAGCCTTTGGGGGCATCACGGAACGAAAATGATTCCACCCATGTTCATCCTCGTATGCGTGCCTTCCAACGGACATCTGGCGATTATCCATCGTTTGGCGTGTCAATGAAGCCTCAACACGTACTATTTATGATTCAAATAGTCTAAGCACTCGTTTTGTTTTGGTTTCACGGGCAATAGGCAGTCATGTTTAAATATACAACCAACCGTCTTCCCAACTTGTATAAATAAATATTCACCCATTACGCACACAGATGTTTACGAAGGCCCCACAACGATTGGTTTCACCTTTTGAAGCTTCGAAATAGTATCGTCGGATAAGTCTAGATGAGCCTTCACGACGGCCGGAGGAGTCAATGCTAGCCACTAATATGAAATATCGTTAGATGAAGATATGAAGAGAAACGAATGGAACTCGCCTGATTAAGACTGATATCTTCGAAACGATCTTGGGAGATCGGGAGAGCATAAGATTCGTGCAAGGCTAGGGAACGACAAAGATCCTTACCTGACTTGAATATTTCGAGGAACTTCATGGTCGAGTTGCCGATATTCTCAACATAGTGACCTATCCGAGGATGTCATTAGTAGATGATACTTGAAATTAACTTCGCCAGCATACCCATAGCGGTAGGAACATAACCTTAATCAGCACTTTCATTTAGCGCCTACAAACGTACGTGTATCTCACTCAAAGCGCCACGTACCGACATCGCCAGGTTGATAGTTGTACGTCCTTGCAGTGCCTTGTGACGCAAAGATCGTAACCCTAGCTTCGCCCTCGCTGGAAAATGAAGACATCAGGATGAATCAAAAAAATAAATCCTAAATCTGGACTGACAGGAAGAAGCTCCATTCATCCATGGTCGGGTGCCAATGAAGCTCCCTAAATTACCCACAGAGTATCAGAAAGATTATGTCATGGACGAACACAACCGAAGTCACCTAATCGCGCCAGGTTCCACAGTAACTTCTGCCATAGCGATCGTTGTTGACACAGTGAACGTCGTAGAATCCACGATTTTCACAGAACCGCCGGACGTCACGGTAGCGTTGGCCGTAGACAAGGCGAACGAATAAGGGTTAGGGACTGTTCCTTGAGGACTAACCGGACCGGAGTCGTCAGGGCCGGGGAGCGCTGTATGAAGAAGATGCGGTCAGTGATCAAGGGTCATGGGCTCCATAAATGACGATGCCACGGACTGCTTGGAAAGATGTACAGCTCTTCTTTTGGGATATGAGCGAAAGCGGAGCTATCGACCTGGAAATTCCTCTCGATGACTGGAAGATGGGGGAGTCAGAGGCATATACAAGGTAGAGCAGGAGGAAGCGATGACCTTCCATGGGAACATGGGCAAGCCAGTCTGTCAACTGTAAAACCGCTCAATCAAGACGTGATCCGATGGAAAAGATGCCATTCCACAAACCAGGAATGTAGAATCTTCACTAAAGTCTCCGTTATCGAAAACCTATGCCGTAGATGGGAGTCTGAGTCAAAGCTTGCTTTGGAATCAAATTGGATAAAGAAATGCACCAGAAGAAACTCTGACCCGTCGGGATCTTCATCCGTTGCTTGTAGGGAGTGAGGAATACCAGGAGGGAAGTACCACAAGTCTCCAGTGCCCTGGTGAACAATCAATGACGCGAATCATACGTACGTTCGTCTTGATATGGCTTACTACAGTGGCTAGATAGTTGCGACCCTCATTGTCAACTGCCGAGACTTGAGTAGAGCCCTTCACCAAGGAGATTAGAAATTTAATCACACTGATACGAGCCTACATACTTTCAGAACGTAAGCCCACTTCAAATCACGTTAGATATATATATATATATCAAGCATCATGCTAGCAAACACGCACCTCGCCAGTCGTGTGCCAGTGCAATTCACTAAGAGTTTCTACTGATACGCATCCCGGCTGCATCGACGCGTAATCACTCACCGAATAGCCCCCGGTTCCAACCGCATGTTGACGCCAGCCATTTCTAACGAAAAGAATATCAGATCCGCAGTTTAGTACGTTAGGGCTCACAGGGACAACTTACCAGTCGCCAGCGGCATCACACCGACTGTCACGAGTAGTCAGTCATTAGCAAGTGGAGACGCGTTTATTTAGAAAAAAAAGAGCTCACTATTCTCCTGACGCGCCCAACCACCTGTCTGTAGTCGGTTGTGACTAAATGACATGGGCCATTTTGCGTTCATCCTAGGAACAAGGGTAGTAGGGTAATCACACGATAAGATCATAGCGCAGCTCACATAGTGCCCGAATCGGTGGTCGGAGGTGCCATTAGATCAGGATTCTCCAAATCAATGGGTATGTTATCGGGACCTATGACCGAAGCTCCCAGAGTACCGCGTTCGGGTGTGACAATAGATGTGTCACTGTCTTCGTTCCAGAGCACTTCGTTGGGGTCCGTAGTGACGTAATCGACCGTTGCAGTAGACGAAGCTGCAGACACAGTGGAGCTCGCAGCTACCGTCGCATCGCTGGCAACTGTACCGCTCGCGGATGCGGGGGCGCAGTTGACGAGCTTGACGAGCACCAGGAGCAATACCAATGGGAAAGTTTTGAACATCTTAGACTGTGTGGGAGAACTCGACTGGGGTTGGAACGTCGAGATGAAGACTCCAAACATTGGCTGTCGGTCTTAAGGGTTTGCGAATGCCGTCCAACGGGGGTAATCGTTCGGGTGAGAGTTGAGCCTATATGGAATGATTAGTGGGATTATTTCGCGTCAGAAAGGTCACAGACATCGGGTCGCTGAATACAATAAAGCTATCGTGCCCACCTTGACTGCCGTTTCGAGGACTGACACACGCGGTGAGTCGCCTGGAAGGGAAAATACGGAGAAAAGATGTAAACTTCTGGTCGGGTGACGACGTGAGTACAGAGGGATTGAGGCTAACGAATTCATCCGTGGAAGCGTACAAAACGGAGACTCTGCAGGGAAGACACGGGCGGAGTAAAATTGAGCATTTTCAATGCTCGATTGACTGGACAACAATCTTTGTGCATCAAACGTTGGGTCAGAAGTCATCAAAAGTCAATCAGAAAACCCACGACTATCCGTTTTAAAAAGTTTAGTTGTACCTGAAAGCCGTAATGAATCGCTAACATTGACGAATACAGTCTTCAGTTGAAGGCTGTTGACTTGGAGTCCTCGGGGACCTTTAGTTGTAAATTTAGCCAGAACATCCAGGCCCGACCTTTGAGGCAAGACGTACCTCACCATCTGTCATATACCATGCTATCCCTGACGTTGGATGATACTTAAACTGGATACATACTCCTTAGAGAACTGGCTGGTGGAGCAGAAAAAAAGGTCACTGCGCAGTGTCGGAGTTGTAGGGGCGCGAGATACATGTGGACGTTCATTATCTTTCCAGTAAGAATAGGTGTGAACGTCACAGTGTACCTATAAATAGAACAAACGGCCGATAAAGCAGAATCCTTCAGTTCAAGACCTTGGCTAATGACCATTAGGGAGGCATACTTTTTGTCAGGCTCGTACATGTCACTGAACGCATTGACTCACCGAACTGAAACCGACATCATAGTCTCTGGAGTCGTTCACACTTGCCCTGTAGGTAATTATTATAGTTTTTGCTGCGCAGGGTCGCAAGGGTGAAGTTCGGAAGATCTATTTATATAACAGAGATGAAACAACGGAAGAATTTATTAGCAATATACGCACCCAATGGCACCAATAGCGAATGCCTCATGACTAAAGCATGAGGCTTTTAGTCTTTTCCTATACCGCTTTTGGGCTTCTTCACCCTTATGCACATGGGACCGTGGCTTCCGACGCGCAGAACCAGTCAAGAATCCTCAATTGAGGCGCACGATATCAATTCGTGCGACATCATCGCGTCATAGTGGAGGGGAAACGTTTACCGAAGCTCTCACTCCAGAATGGCACTTCTTTCCTCCCTCGGACTCGGGAGTTCACGTCACGAGGCCTTAACCTAACTGGAGTTGTGGGGAGTGGCACTGATGAGCCCAACTAACGCCCTGCATCAGCGACCACCGGAAATTGAGAGACCTGAAAGTGTAAAGTGTAGCAATTGATAGAACGACATGATAATATACCTTGTCAGGGTTCAAAGAATGTCATATGCGTGGACAGTCCCAGAAACTAAGGTTTAGAAAATAAGTCATGAGTGCATGAATGTTTAGGTTATCAAGTTGGAAGCAGTAGGCAAGCAACCTGAGCCCTTTGGAAAGCAAAGCGGACGACTAGCCCGCACCGCACCATCTCCCGGTCGGCGGCAGCGACAATTACCCACTTGACTAACGTCATTTTCTTATCAGTACAGTAAATTATCCTTCACGCTTACTTTCACGGGCCTTACTGAAAGTCTTTAGTCGTATTTTTTTGAATGGCTGGCAACGACTCTCCCCAAGAAGGACTATCTGGACACTCCTTTCGGGCAGCATACGAAAAGGGCGAGAGATAGCCATTTAAGCCCACGAGAAAGATCCGCTGTAACTTGGTCAATTGGTAACAGTAGCGGACAATGAAGCTGAGATAGGGATGCAGCGAAAATATGGCAAATATGAGCTAATTATGCTTCAAGGTCGTACACAATTACACCTTGGCCACTGTTTTGACAGCAAGATGTCTGTTATGCATCCAGCCTATGATGAATCTGATGATCCCCGTTCTCACCCTTTAGCTCACTGGCCCATTCTAACCTTTCATGGAATACCCATGCCAGATCATTACATCTCCACGAACACATTGAGAGCACATATCGTATTAATAGATCCGCTTACCATACCTTCTCGTCACCAGGTTACATACGAAACAACGAACTGAACGTAAGCAGTATTTTCAGCCAGTCCCTTTATCATGCCATGGAATCCAAAACATTTCCGGCTCCCGACAGCATATGACGAGAAGGGCGATCTCCTGCGGCCAGACAGCGATCAGATTCCTTACCAGCCGGTGCCCGCAGAAAATTCTCACGTTGACACGAGATGAAAAACCGACAGCCCGATGGGATCTGGAGGGTCGTGGGGGTTCTCCTTCAGCACTTCCCCCACACGCCAAAGTCATTTCTGATGGAAAAGAAGGAATCCTGAGTGTCTTCACACCCTCTCTATTCATTCTTTTATCACTTCTTGAGCTGCGCCATTGTGCCGAAAGATTTTGGCATTGGACATGCGGAACGACAGTGGAGGATCTACCCGTTGCAGCGGAATTCTGTCCCGCGTGCACATTCTCGGGACGCAGATTTCAGGGGGTGATCCAAAAGAAGGTAATGGAAGAGTATAATTGGGCGCGTGGGCTGCTGATTGCCTGTAGTTTTCCTGTATACCTGTCCTGCATCGGCACTGACGATGAAAGAAATAGAGAAGAAACATACCATCTGGTGTTAAATGCACTCCCAACTGAACGTGTTCGAAGATGTCTCACAATCTTCTGTTAGGTCTTCATACTCTATGTAAATGATTTGTTCGCTTGCAAAAACGTTTCCGAGTGACTCGGGTAGAACGTCTTAGGACTCCTGCCACGTTTACCGGAATTTTGTTTGTACCAGTATTTCTCTCCGGTTTCACTACATATGCAGGGTGAGCAATCAAAAGTGGTAGTCTATCCATGAATTTGTACACCCACGTGAATCTCAGTCAGTTAATTGCGGCGCTTCGATTTGACTCTGAGGATAAATTGATCCTCAGGGGCACGGGTAATCAAGGAACAATGAGAGGATGTTAAGTATGCGCACCGAACAGTTCAATTCCCACTGAATTTACTTTTTACTTCAGTAAACGTTTGAATGTTGGTTGTATACAAGTTCCTCCATCGAAGATTACTGTCTTTTCGATTTTTGTAATGCTAAATTGAGAATAAGACTTGAAACAGACGGCTCTGGCTCTCGGTGTACCTTTTAAATCTCGGCTATGCCCGTTCGGACATGGAATCTTACGGCTAGTTTCGGAGTGGTCGAGCCTGGATCATTCTTGCAACATCGATTACCTTGTCATGAGGAGATCAGAGTTGTGAAGTCCTTCTCGAGCTACAGATTTCCCCGCCGTTTGGACCAACGTTACCTTCACATAGGCTTTATCTTGGCACTCCACGTATTGATCAATTGAACAACTTACTAATGACTTCCGGCACTCCGAATTTGGATCATTGCAGTGCAACTGTCGCGCGACACGCGTCGAGGACCCACAGCCCTACAGATGCTGTTATCCATTGTCCATGGGCAAGGTTTGCTCCCTTCCCTTTCGATAATAAGAAAAATCTTTACTTTCAAAGTCTGAAGACTGGTTTTCTCTGTGCTACGGGATCTACGTCTCAAGATGAATGTTCATAACCCCAATGGTCACAATCACAGCTGCTCGGTGTCAATCTTAAATGGAATGAACGCGAGTCAGGTAGAAGTCCACGTTTTTCCCACCTGTAGTATGATCACCAATGGGAGAAGACGTACTGCGGGATGATTAGCGCCTGGCTTGATTCTTTGTGCTGGCTATAGCATTGCCTCGTTCCTTGCTTCGTACTCTCATGGACACTCTCAGGCAGTCTATCCTTCCCCAGCTCTGCGCTGATATACGTATTCTGCATTTCTCTCGCCGACACGCCGCAAGTGCTGCTGAAGTCCTGTTGAACGAAAATTACCTGGGTATATCCATCGTCCAAGCTCAGGGAGGGGGTGATATAGAGTATCTTGCCATCGCAACGACTCAGGCAGTCGCCGTTATCTCACTCTCAGATAATCACCAAACTTTCCCCAAGGACGAAGCTCTTCGTACGTTGCTGTCCGCCAAGCAGCCTATACTCGCTGGCTTCAATATGCCACAGCTTTCGATCCGCCTCTATTGTCATTTGAACTATCATGTTCACGCTATCGACTTATCTACCTTTCGCTCGAAAACCCCTCGCAATCCGTATTATCCCTCCAAGCTCCTCTGTGAGACGATGGCGACATCATTTGATAGTTTTGCGGTCGACAGTCTTTGGAACGACAGATTGAACGAGGCTGAGTATGAAAGGATTAGGAAAGTTTGCCTTCGGGCATGGATTTCTGCTATGTAAGTTTTCCCCATATTCTTCCATGTTGCAGATCAACTGATACGTAAAACATAGCATCATCAAAAAGAACATGAATGCCGTACATCTAATCAAGCCTGTCGAGACTCGATGGCTGAAGAGAGAAGTGAGCCATCCTTTCCCATCAATAAGGTTCATCGTACTTATCTCGATATAAGGTTATCGTATGCCTAAGTCGCCTGCTGTGCGAGGCCGATATCCTACAGCGAGCTAAACCAACGGAGATCACCAACGACTTCTCCGAAGCGAAGATGGATAGCACTGGCAGACTACAAGTGCAAAACTCTCGTTTCAATACCCGAATACGCCCAAGTAGACAGGTACGCATTTCCATGTCCGAAATTCATTCGAATTTATAACATTATCACAAAAGCTTGCCGTAGTTTTGACGACCTCAGATGGTAACGAATTCCGAGGATCGCCAAAGAAATCTCATGGGAGACAAACCGAAATCATGGTCCCTCACCGCTTCTATGGTACGGTGACAAATGTCAAAGTCATTGGCAGAGAGGGAGCAACGAATACCGAGAAGGCTCGCGATGAGCTTCTGCTTCGTGCTTTACAGGGCGAGTGTCATCTCAGGCATTCTAAATTCGTCAGAATGCTTTGGTTTCCAAGCAAGGATGACGAGGAAGATCTCTTAGCCGAAACTCCTATCGTACCCATAATGGCTAGGAAACTGAACGAATCGCAGAACAAGGTAGTTTCAGCCATGGTGTCGTACCAGCCGCTCGTCATAGTCCATGGTGAGGTGCATTCTATCGATGTCACATGAAGCTGATGTAAATACCTTACCAGGCCCACCTGGAACTGGTAAAACATCGACCATCTCTGCGGCAGCTGAAATCTGGGGTCGGACGAAATCACCAACATGGATTGTAGCTCATTCGAATGTCGCTGTGAAGAATATTGCAGAGAAATTGGCATCGTCCGACGTAGATTTCAAGATCATCGTTTCCAAAGAGTTTTACGTCGAATGGTGAGCAAAGGCTACATATTGTTTTGTTATATGTCGTTGCTGATTTCCCGTTGTACAGGCATGAACATCTTTACACCAAAATCGAGGAGAGGTTGTTTCGTGGAGACGAGATTCCAAAGAATCCGGTAGACCTAGGAAGGATCATCGGCGCATCTCACATCATCCTGTCGACACTGAGCATGCTCTCGAATCCGGCACTGGACGAAAACAGGATATTCGACCTTGTGCCTCCGAGGAGTCTTGTTATCGATGAAGCTTCTCAGATTAATGTCTTTGAGTACATGGTCGGTGGCTTTTCATCTCATAACATGGATTCAAAAGTAACTAGACTCCATTGCAGAACACGTTCTTTAAATTTCGAAACGTGACGACCAAAGTCTGCTTCTTTGGAGATCCAAAACAACGTTAGTTCCTATTGAATATCTTTGTATCGATATGTATCTCATGTGTATTGTTTTACAGTGCCGCCATATGGGAAAGACAAGGCTCCATCGATGCAGTGCATCTTCGACATCGATCATCTAAAGGATATATCGCACTTTTTGAACATTCAGTGTGAGTCTTTACGGTGGTTCCGGAACCAGGTAGCTCATCTCCCCTCAGACCGCATGCCTCATCCGCTTGGCGAATTCATTTCACGAGAAGTCTACAATAATCAACTTCTTTCCGAGCATGCGATAAAAGACGCGTCCTGTATTGCCTTTATTGACACTAAAATCGGAATGGAGGAAAAGTCCGGTTTCAGCTGGCGAGTGAGTCATTTGCCTAATCAACTCACAGCATTTCATTCACATCTTGTTTTAGAATAACTTGGAAATCCGTACGGTCGTTCATTTGGTCAAGCTATATTACAAAGACCATAATTTTTGCATTATTACACCGTACGATGCCCAAAGAGCTGCCATAGAGAGAGAACTGAAGAACCTTAACCTTCCATGGGAGAGAGTTTTCAATGTCGATAGCTTTCAAGGTAATTGGCCATTACGGCGAGCATATGAACTCCAAACTCATGTTTTATGCACAGGAAACGAAGCAGATATCGTCCTGGTCTCTGTTGTCCGATGCAAGGAGCCCGGGTTCCTACGCTCTGACCAGCGAATGAACGTCATGCTCACACGATGTCGTCGAGGTCTCGTTATCATCACGAGCCGCAGTTTCCTCTCGGGCCCTGGCCAATCGACTCTTGTTGGTAAACTAGCTCGTGGTAGAAACTGGACAGAATGGACCGCTGTCGCAGAACAGCAAGTAGACCTTCCCGACGCCAAGGGGAAATACGCACCTCTTCGTCTCTCTCCTGCAAAGCTTCAGTTGGATGGGAGGCGTCGTAATTTCGATGTCAAAACGCTCTTTCAGCGTCAAAACCAAAGTTCCGAGATTTCTCCTACAGGAACTCGCACTCTCTCAGCCGTTGGCTCATGTACCTCACAATATTCTAAGATATTGCCACTTCCCTCGAGCAGTGGAGCTAGCGCAGGAGGCCGAATATGGAGTCCAGGTTCTGCTCCGGTATCACTTTATACGAAGGTTCTGCCCAGTTCTGTGTCGTCGAGTGTTTCGTCACCGCGACGAACGATGGGAGTGACAGTGTCATCAGTTCAGACATCTGGAGGAGATTGGTCCATTGCTGTGGGTCGGAAGAAAAAGGTTCAGGTTGGTGGTAGTGGAGTGGTCATGCCGAAGACATCTGGGAATAGATTTGCACTTCTGGCGGTACAAGAAAGGTAAGACTGTATTCAATATATCCTGTTTCTCTATCTATTTACAAGTCTCGAGATGTCAGTGAAGTAATAGATGATACAGAGTTAGATACTCGAACAATCATAAGACCCTGGTTCACATAGCATTTTCTTCCTGATACTCTGGCGGCGGTTCCTCTGCATCCAGTTGGCCCAGAGATATCGGTCGTTCATTTCTTCCTTCACCTAATAGCGCATTTGGCGAGCCTGAAGTAGCTCCTCTATCCAGTGATGCTGCCGACTCGGCCTGTAGACTCTGTACATCCACTCTTCTCCCCACCTCACCATTCGTTGCCACACCCGACAACGAAGGTTCTCCTCTATTTGTGACCCCAGGATGTCGAATATATTCCCCTTGGCTTCTCTGCTTCTGCTGTCCTAATATCCATGAAGATGACATATTCTGCGAAACCGTGAATGGCGATAGCGTTGGTGGAGGACTGTCATCTCCAAACAAAGGGGCGCCATGGTTCTTCTTTCGATGCCGCTTATACAAGAAAAGGGCGACCACTATTAATGTAGAAAGAAGAGCTATTCCGCCGATGACACCGCCGGCTATAACTCCGGCCAGGTACTTCTTTGTTGATGACGCCGATGCACTTCCACTTCCACTTGTAGTAGTAGTGTTAGTGCTCGGATTTGACAGTGGCTGATCATCTGTAAACAGTAATGAACTGATCAACGCAGTCAAAGCTGTCGTCTGAGCATCACTGTTGAATGTGGGGACGCTTTGTGGTCCTGTCCAAGGCATTCCATAAACATTGCTCCCATTTGCAGACTGAGCCAGATCGACGACTGCATTATACTGGGTCCGACATCCAGGAATAGTAAGCTAAGGCAGGAGGTATGATTTCTTGAAAGCTGACCTGAACACCAAGGTATTCCTTAACATATTCCCGAAGATCGGACGATATTGTGTTACGCTCATACACCTCTGTCAGGGCACGTACAATGAAGTATCCTCCAGTGCCATTAACTTCATTTCCAAATGACAATGATAAGTTAGTGGAATAAGAATTTTACAGATAAAACATACTAGCAATGACCCCATCTGTTCCCTGCCATACTCCGCTTTCAGACACAGTAGCAATGATAGTGCTGGGCAGTCTAGAAGAAATTTATAAGGCAAATTAGTATTCGAATGATGAGGATCTGGAATGCATACAGGGCTTCGGCCGATGAGCCTTGAGCGATGTCAGCAAGGATTGCAAGTCCTTCAATGAAGATACCAGAATTGTAGGGATAAATGCTGGAATCTACGGCGCAAGATTCATTTGATTGTGAGGAGATAGAGTCGAGTACAATATTAGATGGATTGAGAAGATGGTTCTGTATGAAATTAGCCGACTCTATGGAAGCATTAATATATGTCTGATTGTAGGTTGCTTCTGCTAATAGAGCTGACACGCTTCGCGATAGTCAGGAGAAGCATCTAATTGGAGAAGCGTCAAGCTCACGCAAGAAAGGAGCTTGTAATATCAATTAGCATGAATGGCCAACTTGACAAAAATCAATGACAAACGAACCCTGTTCCTAGACAATCGAGTTCTGGTTGGTTGGAATCCGTGCACTGGTTGAAAAATAAATAATGAAGTGTTAGTGTAGATGATAACATACCCAAAAGGTACCTCCTGCCATAGTAGCTGCGGAGCGTGGACCAGTATTAGTATATGGATCAAATACAACCAACGCCCATTGATGAGACTGACCATTTTGGCAGGACGATGAAATCTGGATCTCCTTTCCATACATAATTCCCGATGCTGCTTGGCTATCGTTGATGGTGTATAGTCTTCCAGAAGTCCACGAAGTCACAGCAAAGCCAAGAAAGTCACTATCTTGATAAGCAGCATATGCACGGGCAGCAGCATATCCGTAGATCCTGCAAGATAAGGATAAGAAATATAGAATTTTTAACCTCTAGATGCTCATTCTATTCACAGTCCATAGTTCATCTATTTGAGTGGAGAATAGTACCATCAGTTGTGAAGACAGAGCGTAAATGAACGGGACTAACACTGACTCAGCTTCGGTAAGTAGTGATTCAGAAGGGATAATGCGAACGTACTGACAACTCGTTCAAAAAGCCAGAATTCGCTGACTCTACCAATGAAAAGTACTGCTTCAGCGTGTCTTTGTACTTTGTCTGGTTCGTCAGTCTATCGAACTCGGCCATGTGCGCATAAAGCATGCCAGGGGTTCCATATGCAGAATCTGTGTGCGACACAATGGGTTTTGAAAATGAAGGAAATGAGAGTGAGAAGAAGGAAACATACCACTAAACATTCCGTTCGGCTGAAGGTTGCTAAGCGCTTTTTCAAGAGCAGCGCTGGCAATACTGATACGTTCATCCCTGGAGGTTGTTATATTGGGCTTCTGATTAAAATGTTAGCAGTTGCTGCCAATGTCAGATAGCGCAGTCGGTACTCACTCTCCAGGAAGTAGAAGGTTTTAGGTCCGGCGCGGCCGCTGAGGCCCAACCAAGAGCAACCAGTGTCCAGATAAAAGATAGCCGCATCTTTACTCCAGGGAAAGATAGTAGATAGACACTCAGGCTCTGAGATTTCAAAGTAGTTATGAAGGTTAAGAGAAAGACGGGGAAGTTGGCATAGAGAACGAAATAGCGGCGGTCCCCTTCGAGACCTTGACAAATATCAGCATTTAATCCACAAATAGGACTGGGCTATACAGCGTCATGTGAATGAATGAATGAATGCATTGACGCTAGAGCAGCCTAACAATGATCACTTGGTAGGTATATCGATTCGAAAGCCATTAAATGGTGCCGTCACAGATGGTTACGGAAAGAGGAGGGGAGCGAGTAGCAGCATAGAGTTCCGGAGTTCTATCCGAAGGCGGGAGAGATACTGAAGATAATATATAGTTGATAGGCGCTTATATATATATACTTATGTAAAAGTCATCAATGTTGATGTGATGGATGACGGACTATTACCTGTGACAGACCGTCCAAAAGATGAATATCAGTCACAAGGACCAAAGTTCCAAGTGAGATTTAGATGTCTGGGAAGAAATCATGATACGAATTGAAAACATCGTAGAGACAGAGCAACCTGAACCGTCCAGAGTTTCATCCTCGGTCTACTCGGCATCACCGTTCAAGATCTTCCCGCACTCTGGGCAACCAAAGAGCGCCTTCACACGGAGAATGGAAGACCCTCCAATCTTTCCCGAGAACAATATTTATCGGTATCAGGTTCTTCCTATCTATATGCGATCGTCGTCTCTTTGCCTCCTTACTGTATCGACATTTTTGTAATGCTATAAACATCGTTTGGCCTTCCTCTCATGGTCCCCGCATGAGGACTCTGCTCGGGTCTGTTTTTCAGCCTATCCGGGAACAAGGCACCTCCACGGGTCATTCGCAACGAAGTGGGGATGCGTCGTTATCCATGATTGATGATTCTTCCTCAGGATACGTGCCGGTTCCCGGTGGTGAAGTTTTTTTTTCGCGGGAAAAGGTGAAGGCCAGCGATTCGACAGGATATTAATTGGGCTCCTGATGGAACATCTTGGAGCATGTGAATCCTTTTTAGACGAATTTCTATATCTGAAACCATGAGAGCGCTGGGGCAGATCCGTGACGACTCGCAGTCCTGATAAGCGTTTATTTTGGGTCGGGTGAAAACTCGTATGAAATCCTGTCCGGCATCTGAAATAGTAAAATCCGTCGGCTTGACCTCTTACGGGAGATCCCGACGGATTTTAACAAAGATTCAGATTATCATCATCATCGCAGTCAAGTTTGTATTTCGGCAGAAATGACTCTCGGCGAGAATGCGATCGTGATCGAATCACACTCCGTCAGACTAGACTACATAGCCCTCATACAATGCTGACTTCGGGTGAATGATGTCATGAGAAGCGTGGTTTGAAGTCTGCTTTCGCCAAGCGCGGTTTACATCCGCTCCATGCTCGAGTCCGAGGCGCTGGCCAAATCGTACAAGGGTTCCAGCCCGGACCCTGACAACCCGATTGTCTGGCACAAGGATGCTCAGTTGGTGTTTAACGAGCGTTACATTGATGCGGATAGGGCGCATTTTTTGGATCCGTTCTTTGTGCCGATGGGACAAAGCCTATCGCCCCTAGACGATGCCGGGCCAACGCGCTACCCGAATGGGGAGGGAGTTGTAACGCTGAGTGCGGATGTGACGAATTCCGCTAATAGCCGGAATTGCTAGGCTAACTCGGATGTATGTTGTTTGTCCTGCACCAGTATTTCATCTGTGTTCGTCGTTGATTCTCGTGAATGCTATCCTGTTCCGTGTGCGTGTGCCCTGCTCACTGCCACCATAGTAAGCTTCAAGAAAGGTGGGGAGGTCGTTGTCACCGTGCAATTCTCGTCTGTGGTTGTACATGGTCGGGTACGATGAAACGAGAGATTTGTACGTCGGATACTGAGGCAGAGGGATTTGGTTCTTCAGCGCGAGACGCCAACGCAGAGATGACGACAACGTCCCCCCGATATGGACATGCAGCTCGACTTTGGGTGGATGGGACACGAATGTTGAGATAGAGGTGTCCATATCGCAGTGCGCCGAGGCAGTGGTGTCTAGGCGAGAGTTTTGTGAAGCACATATGGTGCAAACGCTCGAAACAGCAGACCCCCGGCAATAAAACTGCGGACCGAGAGCTCTGATCCGCGGCATGTTCCGCCTTCTTCACTGTTGTTTTCGTTTTGAAGCTTACATATCCTTAGGGTTTCGACTCTCAAACCCACCTTGTCTACGGTAGTCCACTTTACTCAACGTTGACGACTTGAACTGGCCCTATCAGTTTCTACATGCGCCGCGGGACCATGCTTCTGAATTCGGTGATCATCCGTCGGAGAAGCTTTTATGATAGCGATAACGACTGTATACAATACTTAACGCCGCCACTTTTAACTCTTCAGAGTGCCTGCTCAATCGATCTTCGCCCTTTTAGCTCCTGCCATGGCCGACGCCGCCTCAATCAAGTCTAAATCTGACGTCGAGTCCAATGTCTCTATCGACGCCGATCTGGCACGAAAGGTGCTACGGAAAATCGACTGGAGATTCTTGCCGATCATGTTCATCACGTAGAATTTCAACTTCATTGACAAGACTATTCTTTCCAGTGCGTCTGTGTTCGGGCTCAAGACTGATACGGTACGCTGTTTCTTGTCTTTTCTGAAGGGCTATCACAGAAAAAAGAGTAGCATCTAGTGGGCCAACAATACAGCTGGGTATCCAGCGTCTTCTATTTTGGCTATCTCGGCTGGGCCTATCCTACGACGTATCTAATACAACGACTCCCTGTCGGTAAATACGTCTCGATCAACACCATAATATGGGGTACCCTAGTCGCGCTCACCGCTTCGTGCAAGACCTTTGGTGGTCTCATTACTGTTCTGTCTCTCCTAGGTGTTGCAGAGGCGACGATCACACCTGCGTTTGTGTACACCACGTCGATGTGGTACACGCGAGATGAGATTCCGGTCAAAACTGGGGCGTGGTTCGCAGGAAACTCGTTCGGGGGCTTGGTGGCTTCGTTGGCAGCCCATGGGATTGGAAAGATCGAAGAACCCTTGTCTCCATGGCAGTGGTTGTTCATCGTAAGTTGTTAATATCGTATACTGCGTTCCTAGTGCTCATTGGCCGTTGTAAGATATTTAGTGTCGCTACAGGCTTGTGGGGAATCATTGTCTTGTTAATTCTCCCAGATTCGATAGAATCGTGTGGGTTTTTGAACGAGGAGGAGGAGAAATGCGCACAGGATAGAGTTGTTGTGGCTGGTACGGGCAAAGCTTCAAAGGAGACGAGCCAGTGGAAGTGCGAGCAGGTCTTTGAGTACTTTTTGGATCCAAAGACTTGGTTCTTCTTCGCAATATCTATATGCACTCAGGTACGCTCATCCTTTTGCTCTGGTGACATTTGCTGATGACTACTTGATAACAGATACCAAACTCCGGTACCCAAAACTTTGATAATCTGGTGCTGGAAGTACGTAATTTTTCCCGTATCCTTAACGCATATTTAACATCGTTTCTCAGGGCTTCGGGTTCACTAACCTCGAGACGACTCTTGTCGCGTTACCTTCGTCTATAATAACTTTTCTGACTATTCTTACAAGGTACAGTGTACATCTTCCATTAGCAACTTTTGCTTTTGCCGAATCCGGTCTATACATATAGTGGCTGGATTGCAGGCCGTGTTCGTAACATCTCCACCTTCTTGATAATTCCCATCGTTATTTGTCCCTTCGTTGGGAGCGCTCTCATATACTCTGATATCAGCAATGGCATCAAGCTCTTCAGCTACTACTATTTCTTTGCTGACTATATCAGTGATGTTGTGCTTGGTCCTCCATTCATATTATTTAACAGTACTAGAAATGATGTAAAGACATATATTACTAAGAGGACAGATCCATATATAGGAGAAACAATACTAATTTAGGATGAACCAAAGATGTGAACATGAGTGTCTCCTTCAACAAGACAATCCTGTCGATCCAACGAGAACTCAGTGTATATTCCTTGATTCTTGATCCTGAAGAAGTTGTGGAATGGTGAATTTTCAGGGACTAGGCTTGCTTGATGCCTGGTCCAATTGAATGTTAGCAATAATAGTCTCAGTTTTAACAGGTGACTATCACTGTCCAATTTGGAAAGGACTATCATATGAAATCCATCCACCTCTTTTAGAAGACAACTATTTCACATGTTCATTGCAGCCTCTGTGATGCACAGCTCCCTTAGATATGGGGCTTTTCCTCTTCTGAATTCCAAAGCTTTAAAGGTATCTCTTGCTGTTGCAGTATCAATAATGAGGACCAGCTTTTGGAGAGCAGGGGATTGCATGAGGATGGGAACAAGGAACAGTTCAGCAGAGACAGATATGGACAGAGTGATAATAGTCAAATTGCACTCTGACCGCTGAAAGAGATTGATCAGAAAGGAGTACTCAACAGCCTTAAAAGTTCCTGGGTGAATAAGACGGTTTTCTGGCAGTACAACATTGAAATGCTGGAGATCAGGGAGAGTGACTGGAACTTTGTTGATATCAAGTATATTTTCTATGGGAAAGACAAGTGCAAGCTGTTTGAGAGAGGTGTGGGTTATATGAGGATTTGTAATTGGTGCAGCAAAATCACAAAGAGATGAATAGTGTTATGGTGAATTCAGTGAGACATTGTGCATGCCATAGCATGTTGTGGGGTTTGATAGAACTGTATGAATGTACATGGAGCTTGCATACCTTGGTCATGTCTATTGGCATATAATATCTTGAAAAGTGACATCTTGGAAAGGCAATGAAGAGAAGAGGTTGTGTGATACTGTGGCATCAATCCATGGTTGAATGGTACCACAGAGGTTGATATGAAGGTTCATCAATTGAATAGCTGGAGACAACTTGGAGGCTAGCCATAGCAGCTCAGACAACTCTTCTGCATTTGTGTGCAGCTCTAAAGTTAACCAACATTCCAGATGGAGGACTCTGCCACTGAGAGCATACATTGTTTCACTGTCCATGTATTTTATGGAGGCATGCATGGGTAAGTCTCTGGAGAGAGAAGCATATTGTTCAAGGAACCCAAGAGGATAGTGGTGGCAGTCTTTAGCAATGCAGATTCTTGTCCATAAGGAGGGACAAGAATGAGAAATGCACCACTGTGTGGAACACACTTGACTGAGGATCCACAGAGCATGATGAGGTTCAGGAACATTGGAAGATGCAAGGTCAAATATTTCAAGTAACAACTCTCGAGGCAAACAACAGATTGGCACCAGGAGGGCCTTGTGTTGGAAATCCTTGGTGTTGTGCAGGGTAGACTCCAGGCTGGTAAGGCCAGAAAGAATGAACTTCCTATTCTACAGCTCCTACAGAGCTTGTATTTATACTCTCCAGGCTTATATCTAGAATTTACTACAACTTTCTCTTTCTCTCGAGCTTACTCATCAACTCTCGGCATGATGCCGGATTGCCTTTCTAGAACTTTCCAGCAAAATCCCAACACCTTGCAATAGCCAAGGTCCTTGAGAATTCTGTCTCGTCGATTTCTGATTTGTGTGAAGAGAGATTCGATTGTTTGTAGCTCCTCTTCAAGATTGGCGATGTCGTCCGACAGGGAGGTGTGACAGACGTCGTGCGATGAGGCTCCCAATTGCAAGAGCTCAATCGCATTGACAGAAGGTGTGTAAGGGATTACAGCGCCAAACTCGCATTTAGGGCAGGTATCCTGCGTGATTTCATTTGTTAAAGGAGAGAAGGACTAAAAGAAAAGTGCTTACCATTTCTGATGCTCCTTGAGGAAATTTTGGTGAAGACACTTTAGAGGTGCGAGGGAGATCCAGACTTAAATATAAATGAGTGCTAGTGTCTACCATGTGTTAATCTTGAAATAGAAGGACATCGTAGGCTCAGTAGTCTCAGTCAGATTCGTCTGATCGAGTGAGTCAGTGAGTTAGAGAGTGACGAAATGAATGTCTATGTTCTCACACTACTTGAGACATGCCGAGTTTCATTTTTTACTTCACTGCCATGGACCGCGACATTGAAACAAGGCATCGGACGGGTCACACAAAGAGCTGTAATGTTTCTTGTCGAATTCGAACTATGGTCCAATATGCTAGGCTTGTCGCATGCGGGGGAGTACTTCGTAAAATGCGGTAAATGTTATAAATCTTTTATTCACATTCTGTGAAGTGATAATACAGAAGATGGGATCCAGTATGTATGTTCTTCCATCTGCATCTGTTGTGCTATACATTGCGTTCAGTGTGACAAGCTCGAAGGTTCAATGTTCAGCATCACACCTCTTCACCCTAAGCTCAACGGGTCGTGCAGCTTGATTTTTATGGCAATACAAGTCCGTGACATGTTTCATTTGGGTGCGCCATGATGCAGTAAGGATCGATTACCAAATTCGTCTTCGGAGGCTGTACAGGTGGTGTTTCTGATTCTTACTCCCTACCCCATCACTGATTGTAGAGTGACGAACAAAACGGAGACTCATTTTCCCACTTGCGTAGTCGAAAGTATCAGCTTCGCAACTGATCCATTTCCTTATCAACTTCTGGCTCTTCCAAGCAGCTGTTCCACCACATTGGATATCCTTGATGCTGTAAACCAACCCTACCGAATTCCTATCTAATAGATGCGAAAGACAGGATCCGTGCACGTCTATTTTGGGGACTTTACGACTGCACCGTCGTTGACAGACACGCAGCTTGATTTGTATCTATCTCCGCTGGAAGAGTAAGTCAGGCCCACGAAGAATAATTATAGGAGACGCTGAACCTTGCTGAGATGGAACAATGTTGATCCTCATTTCTCCATCTCAACAACTCAAAGGCTACACTTCAGAAGAAGAACGAGATGATTTTCGCACTCATCCGTGGTGGATGCTCAGCTGCAGACCTTGATTCATCCGTTCGTGACACAATCCCTATCTAACTCGAGAGCGAAGTCCGATGTAGAGACCAAGAAGTCAAACTACAAAAGTCCCTGATATCTGATCTGAAACATGAACTACAGAATGATGAATGCGACCCAATCACATGTCTATCCTTGCTCCCATTCGATGTCTGTGCGAAGATCTACTCCTTCTGATTTTCAAGTTTGCATCCCATAGCATGGGAAATCAACTCTCCTCCGTCTCACAAGTGCCACAGTCCCTCCTTTGTGTCCGACACTCGTAGAGAAACATCGCCATGACCTCTCAGACCCTTTGGTCCGTTTGCTGATGGGGAGACATTCTCCCATGGAAATACTGTGTTTTGTTACAAAGGGTCCTGGAATTTCGAAGAATCCATGCCCAGTTATCCAGTTAAAGCTGAACCGCTTCATAACCCAACACCTTGACTTTCCTGACTTCCTCAGACAATGCGTCGCTTCCACTTCCTCCCGCTGGGTCAAATTCGATCCATCCTCCAAGTGGTGGTACGTTAAACTGTTTTTCGGTCTTTTGAAAAACATGGATTCAACCCTGGTAAGTAAAGCACCACAAAATCACTGATTTCTTCATCCTGACCCAGTCTATAGTACTTGTCAAACAGGTTTATACATTAGTTTAGTACTTTAAGGTGTGTCGTACTACCTACCATGTATTACAGGATGAATGAATGGACGGCCGTAATTATATTACGGATCGACGCCGTCAGCATCCATCACTATACCGTATACGGTACGGATATAGACCGTGCGCGCAGCGCTAGACCTCGCATTACCCAGTGCTGGTAATTGTACTCGGAATGACTCAGAGTCGATTCCCCATTTTTACTTTACTGCATGAAATGAAAGGCAAAACGTGTTTTCTTATCAGTGTTTCAGACTTGGTGATGCCCCATCAAAACGTAGCTCCCCGATATATCCTGCAAAGGGTCTTCTCCTGATCCCTCTCAGGCATTCGAAGACAAAAACCGCTTTTCCCGTGACTCTTCTAGCAATTGTTTTTGTTTTTCGTTCCATCCAGTAGAAAAAGCGGTGCATTGTAGGTGGCCAACTGAAGCCTTGCACCGGCTGTTTGGCGCTATAGGTGGCAAAAAAAATGGCAGCATTTTCAAGTACGATATGTCTCTGGAGAATCGACCGCTAACTTGTCCATTAGACGATATTTATTCAAGTCTGAATCGACAATTTCTTCTATTTTTTCTGTCCTCAGATTTCCGTTCCTCGATGTTAAAATACCACGACATGTCCTCCCATCATAGCACATTTACCCTCGCCTGATACTACACTGGAAGGAGACGAGACCGTCGGCTTGATCTCTTCCGCCCGTCATGTCTCGTTTCAGAAACCTCTCTCGGTAGGTTAACGATGGAATGATCCGGTGATGACCCTACAAGCATTCGCAAGCAATAGTAGACAGTAGGAACATATTCATGGGAAAACATAAGTGGGTATGGTAAAGTATAGCGGTGGTTTTCCGACGATGATATGCAAAATGAATTCATGAGATAAAACGGGAATGGCATAAATTAGGACACGGTCGCCCCGCTGAAAAGAATACCAAGCACGAAAGCAAAGACAGCCCAAAATGCGGAACTACTAATCGCTACCACTGTTCTGCCTAGAGCCGCGTTCGATGAGGCTGAGGCTACCGAGCTCACTGAACGGCTGGAGGTGCTGGAGGATGTCGTCTTGGTGCTGGTCGAACTGGTTCCTGTAGGAGTGGTTGTGCCAACACTGGTACTCGACATCGCTGCTGAAGAAGAGATCGACGTGACGCTGAATGAGAGGGAGGTGCTCGGCGAGGCCAAATTGCAGAATTGTTGCGATAGGGATTCGCTAGTCGAGAGCTGGTCGGAACAATCAGAGGAGATGCAGCCAGTCAAGCTTGCGGGAAAGATGGTGCTATTCGGACGGTCGTCGGTCAGTCGAGGTTTGAGAGCGAGCAGTACGGAGACCTACGTTCCGCAATAACAGTCAACATCGGCTACGCTGGTGCAGTTGGCGTAGGCTATGGCAAGCTGCAGACAATTCGTCACTGTGGAGAGACCCGGTTAGTTCGAGAAAGGGGACGGCGTTGTCGTAGTGACGCACCGCATGTCGAGTATCCGCTGAGACTCGGTAGTGCCGCAGAGAGCGTCGAACTGACACTTAAACTCGCACTACCACTCGATGCGGTACCGCTGCTCATTGCTGAGCTTGATCTTGAGACAGTTGTGGGCTCGGTAATAGCGGTCCCAGTTACGCTACCCGTGATGGTTGTAGACGAGGCCGTTGAGGACTGCCCCTGGACGACTGCGATGAGACAGAGTAATGAGAATGGGATGAGAGCGAGAGATTGTAGAGACATATAGGGCAGGTAAAACGGAAAAAACTAGACTAGACAAGGTCTCGCAGTTGGTTCAGTTCGGCAATTCGCACCGATTTATTTGTATTTGTTTGACATTGCGGACCTAGGTCTCTTCCGATCTTTTTTTTTTTTTTTGTCCTCAGCATTTGATTAACCGCAACAAGTAAGCTAACTACTAAGACGCGGTGGAGGTACAGGGCCTCAGGATCCTCTTTCCCTCTTGTTCCAGTCCCTCCGTTCTTCCTTCTGAGTTCCCCGGGTGTTTTGGCGTGTGGTGTGGAGTAGAGTAACGGACATGTAAGGTCTCTTCCGATCGACGTGCTTTCCTTCTTAGACGAAATTCATTTGCTTTTTCATCTTTTTCACTTGATATACGTGTTGCGATAGACATCACCTCAACGCGCACGACTACTCAGACCGCGCGTAACTGCGACATTGCACGACCACCGTCTAGGTTTTTTGCCCAAGAGCAAATATGGGCCATTGTATAGTCCCAGTCCAGTGTTGCAATGGTGCGAGAACTTTCTATTCTTTCCATCTTCTAGCTAACACGACTCTACAGTTTGATTAGTTCATCTTGAAGCCACGTATGTTGAATATTGGTCCCAAGAAAGGGAGCAGAAGCGACACAGCGAACGAACGTACGAACGCACGAGCTCGATGAAAATGGGAATGGCAGGCAGCAAAGTGCTTCCTCCAACCTTGATTCTTGTCTGTTTATCGTTTCCAGGATAATGGATCGTTCCCCCTTGTGTCCTTGCTTCCACCGCTATCTGGCCTATTCGTCTCGATAATGGACCCAGGTCTCCCTGGAACGACCGCGCCGGGTCGTACTCACAGCTATACATGCGCGGCTCGTCGCCTCCCTCCTTTTCAATGCCATCGTTGTGATGCAGGTACCATGGCCCCCTTCACCATCCTCACCCTCTATATGACTTAGGGTTCTGCCCTAAGCCTGCTCATGATGGGATGTTCGTATCAGGGTATCCGATGCTCACTTGCGCTTGGCAGAGAATGCCTTTGTTATCCTCGGCTGCAGGGCCAAATTTATGGAGCCTGGTGCTGACGTGCTTTTACACAACGGATTCCAGATAACGGTCAGCAGCAATGTTTCGTCAGGACAACCATCACCGCCTCATCGTGTCTGTTTTCCTGCGCCAAAGGTACGCGTACTGCTCGTTATCCACCGGTTCTCTCTGATAGCGCATGCAGGAGATTTCAAATTTCCGCAACATGTCATAATTGGCTCTTTACCCCTTCTTCCCTGGCCGGGCTATGTGGTGGGAGAGTTTCTTCAGCGAGCCGATTCGGTTACAGTACGTCTGTAGTGCAGGCACCGAATGGAAATGGCTTCCTTCTCATTGGCTTGTCTTGTCTGTATGATGATCTACTTGGGGGTTTCATCGGCCTTAATGATGCACGGATCTTTCGGTCCGCATAATCTGCAGGCTTTGTGTCGTGCAGGTTGGCGTGTCTCTTCGCTTTGCGATGAAAGATACAGACCTAAGCGCCCTGCCGGCGTCGCTTCTCAATACATGTATCATACAAATGAAACTTTTCTTGATACTGCTTCTGCAAACCAGTCTTATTTTCTGAGTCGAGATGGCCGTTTTGGCTCGTACATCTGATGAAATGCGGGGGGGGGGGGGGCAAAACAATGTCTTTCCCGTTCTCGCCCATCCTTCCGGAAGCGTGGCGGTATTTGGTTTCCGCTAGATATTCGATACGGGACCATGTAGTGAGCGGTTACAACTCCGGAGAATTCTTGCTGTTGCGCTAGATGATATCTTGGCGGCCCGATTCCCTGCAGACTTGGTAGGAAATTCTGACATTTTTTTTCTTGGTAGTTGAAGGGGGTTTCACGTAGCTAGTTCTTGAAAGCGAATCCTTTTGGCCACCACCGACAATTCCCAGTCAACGGTCGCCTTTTTTTTTCTTCTGGAGAGAATAAAAATTTAAAAAAGAAATAATTAATTAATTAAAATCAATTCCTGGAAAAACTTTAGGAGAAGCTGTGTAAGGAGATATTGAGACTACATTATTATGAGGGACTCCAAAACACTAAATAAAGTGGGTATTGCATTACTTAATGTGATGAAGTAAAGGTGGGGGATCCATTGAGTAGAATTAAGACCAGATAGTATGAGTCATCAGATAGTGCAGTATGAAGGGCAGGAGAAGAGATTAATTATCTCAGAATACCAATCAGATGGCTGCTTGATCTCTACATAGTTATGAGTGGGAGGGTAGGAGGTGTAGGTCAGCAACTTGCCAATAATAACAGAATGATGGCAAAGATATAGAGCAAATACAATGATGGTGATCACAAGAGTGAGAGGTATGACAATGATGGAGGTGAGATTCAGAGAATTTCTGTCTGAGATACCAGTCTCAGATATAGCTTGACTTTCCATATAGATGGTAACAGGTTCTTTCTTGTCATTGTACCTTTCACAGATAGTAATTAATTATATAGTTTATCTAAACTGCTTATAAGTAGGTGATCATTGTTGTGAGTGTCGGCTATTCATCAGTAGGAATATTCATATTGTCATAGACAGTACTCATATGATGATGGGGAGTCTTTGGACACATCTCATAAAAATCAGCTGAGAGTGCATTGTCAATCTCTAAGAAGGTGATGCATGCTTGTAGAATCTAGTAGAATACACTGTTAGCTATAATGTAGACCTCACACAGTGTAGCAATAAGCAGAAACATGGTGAGAGTGCTTAACAGTCTATATTCAATACATATTGTCCATCCTGACATAAAGGAGTATCAAGCTTCACCAGCAGGGTATGACAGAGCTTCTGCTTGCTAATCCAACACTCCCCCTCAAGTGGAGCAAAGTCTGAGTTCAGCAGCAAAGTGCCTCATGTTGTGATTTTTTCTTTTCTTTTTCTGATTAACCCCTATTTATGCTTAGTCAGAGCATCTAGACCAGCACTTAGGACCATGAGACAGGCTTAGTCACCATAATAGGCCAAGTCTGCAATTGTCCTCCAATATAACAACAACACTCAATGACAGACAATACTCTTTTGTGGACAGTAGTGATGCTCAAGAACAAAGAGCACTATAGCATAGAAACATACAATTAGTAAAGATATATTTAACTCAGATTTGAGCAGTATATAAGTAGCATAGCTCCTACTGTATATCCTCAGCTTCAAGCTAAAGTTTATTCTTACCACTTTATCTCAAGCTGACTGTTTACTGGCCTTGAAACTCTTGATCAACAAGCACACATAGTGAACTCTGATGTGACTGTATGAACTCAATACAGCATCAGTTTATCATGTGTTTGGATCATATGCAACTTGGGCTTAACACTTCACTTTGGCTGAAGATAAAGGCTCAGTGAGAGCATCAGCAACCATATCCTCAGTAGGACAATAAACAAAACAAAGAGAGCCTCCACTGATAACCTAGCAAATGAAGTGGAAGCAAATATCAGTTTGCTTAGTTCAAGCATGATACTGATGATCTTTTGAGAGTGCAATAGCAGACTGATTGTCTGAGAATAAAGTCATAGCCTCAGTAATCAGTGAGAGAACTTGAGAGAGCAGACTGTGAAGCTAAAGTGCCTCCTTTGATGTATGCATTGCAGTCACATAATTGGACTTCATAGTTAAAAGCAAGATGATCTCCTGCTTTTTAGATGACCACAAAATAGCTCCACCATTCAGCATAAAAGTGTACTCAGTAATGGCATGTCTGTCCTTGGCCATGCTCCTATCTGCATTCACATATCCTTGCAAAACCCTTCTGTTTCTCTCAAATATCAACTAGTAATCTGTTGTACCATTTAGATAGCAAAAGATGTGCTTTACAGCCCTCCAATGAGCCTCTGCAGCAGCTGTTGAGTATTTTGAGACTATTGCCATTGCAAATACAATGTCAGAGCATAATCCAGATTAAAGAACCAACAGACTCCCTGTAAGAGATGTCTCTCATATGTCACAATTTTTACCCCTAATTGTGACCTCTAGCCCCTATTCATGACTCACTGATGCTTAATATGCCAATACTTATAGAAGCCTGATGATCCCAACTGCAGTCTGGCCTCTGCCATGGGGGAATCTCACCTCAACCATGCAGAACCATGAATGATGATACTATGATGACACTATAGCTATATCTTACTCATCAACACACAATAAGCAGCTGGTATCAGCATGCTGATCAGTACATTTCTGCACTCTTTTCATAATAGGCACTGTGGCTTATGAGAAACTCATTATAACAATAGTATTGTAGGATAACAACAGTGCAAGTATAGGACAACAGGATTATTATAATGAAGACAACAAGTAGTAGACACAGTAACAGGACAATAGTTGCTGGTATGGTGAAGAGTTTTCTGGACAGTATTTAAGACAGTAGTATATGATGATATACCCTAGTCTTGAGCTAAGATTAATACACCTATCAAACTCTTTGACTACTTGGTGCAACTGCCTCTGCTAGTACTCACACTGGCAGATATAGTCTACTGACCACTACATCTTATATCCCGTATCATCATCATTCTATTGCTTTATAAACTTCAGATGATATCTGATCTTGGTGGATGCAGTGCTTAGAGTTTGTAGTTGTTTGGTTGAGGCCTAACATCATGGCTGCAATTTCTCAGATAGAGGCTAGTGCAGAAAAAGAAGACAAGTGAAGATTAATGTCTATTGGTTTGAAAACTGGCTTGAAATCCTCAAAGCTATAGCAATGAATGATAGCATCAATGTATGAGCATTATAGGAAATAGAGCATGACTTATATTCATGAGTGATCTTAATGCTAAGAATCCAGTGCAGCTCCTCTAAATCCATGACTGTTACAATTTTTACCCTTTTTCTTTTTTTTGACTCTTTTTTTTTACTTTTATCCTTATTCACAATTAGTCAGAGCATCTAAAACAAGTGCTTGGGACTATGGGATGATCTTAGTCAGCACAATCAACTAATACTTCATGACATGTAGTGACACTCTGACAACAAGACAACACTCCTTTTGTAAGTAACTATAACACTTCAGGGTAATAAGTACTATAGCCAAGATATGCACAATTAGTAGGACTATAATTATCTATGAGGCAAATAGTATATAAGTAGCATAAAAAGTGTCATATATTCTTCACCTTGAGCTATCTTTTATTCTACCACTTTATCTTGAGTCAACTTGTATTGATCTTGAGACATAACACTGCTAAACACACTTAGTGGACTCAGATGTGACTGTTGTTATGATTTTTCTATTCTTTTCACCAATTAACCCTTATTTATGCTTAGTCAGAGCACTAAAGACAGGTGCTTAGGACCATGAGGCAGGCTTGGTCATCACAACTAGCCAAGTCTGTCATTATCCTTCAATGCAATGATGTTGCCCAACAATGCACAATCAATCTTTTATGTATGGTAGTGATGCTCAAGGACAACAAGCACAAAAGACTTGATAACACACAATAGGTAATATTATTATTAGTCACAACTTATACAGTATTTAAGACAGCTCACT